GGCTACTATCCAGTCGCTCCTGGAAGCCGGACGCAGCCAGTCCAAGGTCCCCGTCCGGCACGTTGCGCGGGTTACTGGTATGCTTGCTTCGATGGCTCTTGCACTTGGGGCCACTGCTAGGGCATTCAGCCACGCCCTGCTGCATACCATCAACAACGTTCCTTCCAGGAATAGCAGAGTATCGCTCTCACCTATCGCCTGTGAGGAGTTGGAATTCTAGTCAACCGAGTTTGACCACTTCAACGGTGCCCCATTTCATGTGCGCTGTAGCTACGACGCTGTAATTCATATCGACGCGAGCAGCCACGGCTGGGGGGCTACTCTCAACGCATTCTCTGGCAACCTTTATGAAGCAAGCACGAACATGCCTGCCGCTTTGCGACACACGTCCAGTACACGTCGAGAGATTGAAGAGGTTCTACAGGCACTGCAGACATACAGCGACCTACTCTGAAACAAGCATGTGCTTGTACGCGTGGATAATCAGGGAGTTTTCTTCATATTGAAGAAGGGTGGCTCACAGAGCTCTGATCTCACCATCGCTTGCAAGGAGATCATTCGCACGTGTACTACCCACCGAGTTCGCCTCATGATGGAGTGGATCCCTCGCGGACTCAACACGCATGCGGACGAGCTCCAAGATACTTGATGGCGATGACTACACGCTGAAAACGCCATGGTTCAACATCCTTGATCGGCGCTGGAGTCCCCATTCCATTGATCTCTTCGCCAATGCTAGCAACGCGAAGCTGCGTTGTTTCTGTTCCAAAAACCCGCACCCCGCGGCTACGGCAATCAACGCTTTCACGATCTCTTGGTCGGCAGAACGCGGCTTTGCCTTCCCCCCACCTCAATTGATCCCCGTCGTCCTCCACCATGCGCAACGTACACACGCGTTTCTCACCCTGGTACTTCCCGGCGCCAGCTGGTGGCCACTCCTCCAACCCTCACCGCCAGCCTGGGCTAGCCCCATCAAAGCTCACATCCGACTCACGCACGGAAGCCAATGCTTAGCCCCAGGTACACACACTAGTGCCTTCTCCGGTCTACCTAATAGCCTCATGCTCGCTCTGCAAGTCGCGTTTCCCTAATGTCTGCCTCCCCGCCTGTATCGCAAACAGATCTAATCCCAACCCTGCAACGCGAGCTGCTCTCGGTCATGGCACAAACGCACGCACACTCTACAATTCGAACTTATGAACCTTACTGGCAGCAGTTTCGTTCCTTCTGCATCAAGGTCAACCTTCCCTTCATGCCAACTGCGGACATGACACTCGCCTTGTACCTCGTCTATGCAATTCGAAACAAGGCCACTCTCTCAGTGATACAACTCACATGCTCGGCCGTCAGCTTCGCTCACCGCATGATTGGGGCATCCTGCCCAAGCACTGGCCCCTTCACGTCACAAGTTCGAGAATTCGCCAAGCGAGAGTGTCCCCGGCCCAATCGGACCAAGGAACCGGTCTCTTTACATCAAGTGCACGAGATGGCTACTCACTTCATCAGTGCTAACGATCCGGCCACCTTCCAGAAAGGTCTCATTCCCCTTCTCATGTACGTCGGATTTTTGCGTTACTCCGATCTCGTGGCCATCAACTGGGAGAATATCCAGGTTGAGGATGACGTAATGTGGCTGCTCATCCTGCGCTCCAAAACGGACCAGGCAGGTCAGGGCTCATGAGTTCCTGTTGCTGCCGTCCCGGGACCCCTCTGCCCTGTCCGATGCACCAAACGCTTCATCCGGTTGGCAGGCTATGGACCCACCACTCCAGGACCCTTAATCCGGGTGTTCGGCGTGGCCGCAGGCGGCGTCCCTACTTGCAAGCCGCCATCATACACCACCATACGCAACTGGTGCAAGGAGGCTTTCCAGTCCATCGGCTTGGGTGAGCATCACCTCGGTACCCACTCCTTTCACAAAGGCGCTGCGACCGTCGCTGCCCACGGAAGCGTAGCGGACCGGCTCTTCAAACGTCTTGGCCGATGGCGCAGCGACACGGCCAAAGAAATTTACGTCACACCTGACGTCGACCCTCGAGTCGGCACCATCCCCGGCACAACATTCTCGAGCTCTTGCACGCCACCGACAGCCATCTCCCTCCATGTGTCAGGTCAACCCAGTGGAATGAGAACGATGCCATTTGCACTACAAGTAGCAAGCTTTCTCAATACGTAAATTTTTAAAGTGTTCACATTTTCAAAATTGCGTATTGTGAATGCGAAGCTGCTTGTAACGCAATCTCAGGCATCGTCTAAGCGCTCTATTCGCCCTTCTCCAACCATATAATGGGGTAGGAGGATATTCTTCCTCCACCCACGTTTTTCTTTTTTCCCAGCTCAAGTTCAATTCCCGCCCACCCAACCCGCTTCGTCTACCCTCTTCAGCATGCACCGCTTCGGTGGATCATCCTCGGCATAGACATATCCCTCATAGTGTAGAAAGTTTATGCTAATACATGAATATATTGGGAACTCTTTGTACTTGATGCCAGTGGAAAGAGAACAAGGCCATTTGCACTACAAGTAGCAAGCTTTCTCAATTACACATTTACATCACAGGAAACCCATTGGTCCCCTAGCTCACACCAGTGTCAGTGGAACGAGCAGTTCCAGCCTAGAACAGACCATCCTCGTTAAAAAACTCCAGAGGAGAGTAGAGCAAGCCCCGTTACTCTTGTAGCAGAATTGCGACCTCACATTTACATCACTGCAAGTTCATCAGCACATCTGTGCCACTGGAACCAGCAGTCCCAGCCTCGCACAAACCGTCCTCGCCAAGAGAGACTCCAATGAAGAGTAGAGTAAGCCCCGTCGCACTCGTAACACAACTGCAACCTCACATTTCCATCACAGCAAGGTCATCAGCCGCTTGACCCACATCTGTGCCACTGGAACCAGCAGTTCCAGCCTCACACAGACCATGCTCCTTAAGAGAGACTCCAATCCCAGTATTAGTCCTTGTCAAATCAGTACCAACCCCATCCTCAATCCCAATGGCTGTACCTGTACCAGCTTCAATAGCGCTTATAGCGGCAGCAACGACTGCTGATGCAGCAGCAGCAGCAGCAGCAGAATCCAAAGGCCCTAATGTTGGTCTTTCAGTTGCTCCCCGTGCTCCTGCTGCCCCATCAATGACAGTGCATGTAGCAGCACCCATAGCATCTGTAGCAGCACCCGTAGCGGTGCCTGTAGCAACATCCGTAACAGCATCTGCAACAGCACCTGTAGCACCACCTGTAGCAGCAGAGGAGGCAGCCTCTGTAGCAGCAAGGGTAGCAGCGGCTGTAGCAGCAGCTGTAGCAGCAGCTGTAGCCGTATCTGCAGCAGCACGAGAAGGAGCAGCCGGAACAGCAGCAGGAGTCACATCTGCACCAGCGATGGGGACAGAGAGGGTGGACAGCTGTTGGTTCTGTTGCTGTTGCAGTTGCTTCTGCTGCTGCTGCTGCTGCTGCTGTGTTGGTGCCTGTGCCTGCACAAGAGGCTTCAGCTCCTGCTGCGAATCTCCTGCCACACTCCCGATGCTGGGTAGGACGAGATTGTGCTGACCTGCTGTTTGCTGCTGCTGCTGCTGCAGTTGGTGTTGCTGCTGCTGCTGCTGCTGTTGGTGTTGCTGTTGCTGCTGTTGCTGGTGTTGCTGTTGCTGCTGCTGCTGCTGCTGCTGCTGCTGTTGCTGTTGCTGTTGCTGTTGCTGTTGCTGTTGCTGTTGCTGTTGCTGCTGCTGTTGGTGTTGCTCTAGCTTCTGCTTGCTTCCTGCTGCTGCCGCCACCACTGCCCCTAGCATGGAGGCAATACAACTGCCTGGAATCTGGACAGTAGACTGCGGGGGGAGCGAGGGGCTCTGAACATGGACAGGTCCCCGGGAAGGGGATGGCTTGGGGATTTGCAGCAAAGGGGAGGGGCTGAAGTTGGGGATCGGGACGGAGATGACAACAGGGGAGGAGGCGGAGGAGGTGAGCCGAGGGGCAGACGAAAGTGGTGCTGGTGCTGGTCCTGGTGCCGGCCCTGGTGCCCGTAGGAGTGATGGTGTGGCCGACGCTGCTGTCCCTTCTCCTGCCACCCCTGCTGCTCCTGCTGCTCCCGCTACTCCTGCCACTGCTGCTGCTGCTCCTGCTGTTGCTGCCGCCCCGCCTGCTGCTGCTGCAGCGCCCGGATTCAGAATTGACTGGACAAAGCTCAAGGGGGACTGCTGCGATTCAGTACAAGGAGGATGGGGGAAGGGAGGCGCGCCTGCCAGGGGATTCCCTGCCGAGCCTAATCTAGGCATGAGCAATGCCGAGCCTAGCCTGGGCACTTGCAACGGCGGGCCTGTTCTGGCGATGAAAGAAGGGGAGGCGGCTGAGGAGGGTAGAGTGGCGGAAGTAACAGCAGCTGGTGCAGCAGCAGCAGTGGCAACAGTGGCTGCTGCTGAAAAGGGTGGGACAGAGAGGGGTGTCATGAGGGAGGGGGAGGGGGCGGCAGCACGTGTGGGAGTGGACGGAGCTACAGTGCCGAGTAAGAGTCCCCCAGCAGCAGACGGCAAGGTGGCAGCAGAAGTACAAGCAGCAGCAGCAGCAGCGTCAGTAATAACTACAGCACCAGCTGCAGAACCAGCGTCAGTACCAGCAGCATAACTAGCAGCACCACCGGCAGCAGCAGGGCCAGCAGTATTGGCAGGAGCACCAGCAGCAGCAGGAAAAAAACCCGCAGGAGCAGCGGCAGCAGCAGCAGCAGTGGCAGCAGCAGCGGTGGCAGCAGCCGCCGTCGAAGCAGCAGCCTTAGAAACAGCAGCTCCAGCCATACAACCAGTCGGAGCAGCCAGATTGGAAGCAGGGAGGGTCTGGGGCGGGTTGGGGTCAATGCCCGCGTTATAGAGCACCCCTTTAAAGATATGGCCGCCGATCTTGACACTGGCGTGGTAGCCGAACTCAAAGTGCCCGTCCACGATGCCTGTCACCCGCACACTCCTCAGGAGCGTCTGAACCACCACCTCGGCCGGAAGGGCTGGGAATAGAGAAAGTGCCACGGCACAGCAAGAGAAGGGAAGGAAAGAGAGACACGGCACGGCTTTGCTATCTGAGGCGCGTGGCACGTCTGTACCAAACTCTAAGTGCCATCCACTATGCCCGCCTGTCACCCACACACTCCGCTGGAGCGTCTGAACCACCACCTCGGCTGGGAGGGCTGGAGTGAGGGGAGGGTTCAAAAGCGAATAGAAAGAGGACGAGGAGAGGGAAAGGCTGCTTTCAATGGAGGACCCTGTCTGTCCCCCGCACACTCCAGAGGAGGACCGGACCAACTCTTCTGCTGGGAGGGCTGGCGTGAGGGAAGGGATAGGAAGCGAAAGAACCAGGAAGGCGAGAGAATGGGTTAGGAAGGAAAGAAGCAGCATCAAGTCTCCCGTCTCATGCCTTCCAGGAAACTCTAAGCGCCTAACACTTGTTTTTTCGGCTTGTAAACCTTTATGAAAAAGGCACCTCACCTTGAGTCTGTTGCGCTGGTGTGTCCGGGAGAGCCAGCATTGATGGCTGCTGCGACGACTGCTGCTGCTGCTGCTGCAACTGGTGCTGCTGCTGCACGGGAGTCTGAGCTGGTTGCAGCCCCGCCTGTTGCTGGTATTCAGACGGAACCAGGAGCATTTGCTGTGACTGTGACTGGGTTTGAGCTTGACCCTGAGCTTGCATACCCGTCTGTGCACCTAGCAGCGGCACTGCTCCTCCTGTTTGCTGCTGCTGCTGCTGCTGCTGGTGTTGCGCCAGCGCCTGCACTTGCCCCTGACTGGGCACAAGGCCAGGCACTTGAATCGACACCTGAGAAGGCACCTGAGCCGGCACCTGCGCCTGGGGAATGGGCACCACCACAGACGCTACCGGCCCTCGCGCAGGCGACTGAGCCATGACAGGTGTGGACACCCCACTGGCCGGAAAAAAGCTCGAGTTTCCCAAAGCACCCAGAGCAGCAGCAGGCGCTGACGCAGCAGCAGGTAGCATAGCAGAAGAGATAGCACCACCAGCACCAGCAGCAGCAGTAGTGACAGCGGTGGCAGCGGCAGCATGGTAAGTCGTAGGCATGGGTCCTGCCACTGGCGACTGCGACCCGCTCCCTCGCGCCCGTTTCGTCCGCGGCGGAAGGGGCAGAGACGCTGCCCCACCCGCGCCCGCCGCCGCCGCCGCCGCCCGCGCGGCCGACTCCATCAGCTCGCGCTTCCTGCGCTCCGCGGCGGGCACCCACGTGCTGCGGATGTGCGTGGAGCAGTTGTACCCGCGCGCCTTGCAGCACGTGCGGCAGCGGCGGTACGGGCAGTCGCGCTTGCTGGCGTTGCCGCACTCCATGCAGGAATTTCCCTCGCGGAAGATCGCCGGACCCAGGGGTTGGATTACGGGGAGCGTCAGAACTTGCTGCTGCATCGGCTGCTGCTGCTGCTGCTGCTGCTGCTGGTGAATCAGTTGCTGCTGCAGATGCTGCTGCAGCTGCTGTTGCTGCGGCTGAGTACCCATGGAAGGCGGGACTATAACGGGAGTGAGCGGCTGTTGTAGATGCTGCGGCTGTAGCAGCTCCTGTGGCTGTAGCAGCTCCTGTGGCTGTAGCAGCTGCTCCTGCTTCGGTTGAGTGGGAGACTGCTGCAGATTAGGTTGCTGTGATTGACTCGAGCCACCAGGAGGGGGAAGAGGAGAAGAATCAAGAGGAGAAGCGGGTCCGCCATCGGCTGCCGTCGCCATGGCTGGTCCGCAACCCCCACACTTACAAAACCGTCGGTCGCAACTCCACCACTCAAGAAACCTCCGGTCGGAACCCACCACCCACAACCCCCGTTAACCCGATTGGTGCGAAAGGGAATCCGCTAGCTGTATTTCTGGGCGGTTCTCTTAAGAAACGACTCTCAAAACAACCGTTTTTTTGTGCTAAGACTGGACAGCTGATCTCGTTAGTGCGGGAGAGCAAACTTTGGCGTACGAACGACCATAAATAAGCGGCCGTATAATCTCCCGCCGTTGGAACCTGGAAAACATGGAAGGGGAAATACAACACCAAAACGAGCAAAATGAACGGAATGGTAAAAGAAAGGGGGAGAGTTGCACACAGCATGGAATTTTTTAGAATTCTCAAAATTCTCTTGCACACAGCATGGCAAGGACGACGCAGAAATCCGTTTTTGACGCGTCACGGGTCATGGTTATTTCAGCATCGTGCGACGATTCGCAGCGACTAGGAGCACGCATATTTCACGGCACTTCCGAAAGCACGCGGAAAGCACGCAGACAAGGAACGGAACGGCAGCCTACGGAACTATGGCGAAGACGACGCGTTGAGTCTACTAACGAGAAAGCACGTAACGTGACAAGAGTCAAAGAGAACGAGGAATCGGCTAGGAAGAGAAAGTCGTTTCGGAAAGAAGAGAACAAAATAAAGGCTAAGGGGATTGGAAGTGACGATGGATGGAGGCAAAAAATCTCATCGAAGTACTGTACTGAACCATGACTGAGGACTACTCAGTCAAAAGGTGGATAGACGGGACAGTTCAACAAAAACTCACGTCAGGAACGGAGCTGCTGGCTGATTCAAGCAACAGAAGAGTGCAGCGAAAACGGTAACTCCTAGGCCAATCTAGCCTTGAAAGCTACGGCTAGCTCCTAGAATGAGGGTGTACGGGAAACCCTAGTCCTAGATGGCCTGCACGGCTAGCGCTCTACCCCTCGGGATTGGTTGCCCGAGATTTCAGAAGGATAGGCTGGGACAGGCTAGGTTGGGCAGAAGTTTGGGTGAGGGGGACACCTAACAGACGAGGCGTAACGTAGTTCGTAACGTTACGGAGGGTTACGATACGGTGAAGTGAGGTTCCAACCAAAGGTCTTGTAGGCCTTGAATCTCATCTAGTCGGTTTGGTGGGCACAGGTAAGGCGCTACCTCCACTGAGGAGATGGTTAGTGAAAATCGAGGCAATCCCCAGCAGCTGGTTCCCCTGCCCGTATCAAAACAGACCTCTCAGGGTGTTTCTAAAACTTGGTCTCTCCTCCCATGGGTTTTGCAGAAATGGTTGGAGTTGAGGCCTACTAGCTGAGGCCAGTACAGGGGGCCGTTTGCTGGTAATTTTGACAGGAAGGGGAACCGACACGAGGAGTGGCACGGGGGTCAGTCTCCTGGGCGAACAGAAGTTACGTGGCCAAACATACTCAATAATTTTATTTGTGCCCGCGCGGACTTGAACTCAAGACAGTCAAGTTAAATGATGGCAGCGGTCAAGCTCGCAAGAAAGAGTAGATCAAATTTGCCGACAATGTACAGTGACACCTTTCAGAGGTGGGGACCTTCTACAAAAAACAATTCTGACAATTCAAAATTGAATTGGCCGATTAAACGCGAGTGCATTGGCCAGCTCTGCGTGCCATGCCGATCCCCCTTGGCTCCATACCACGACCTTGGTGGTATGAGTTGAATGGGGGGATGGCACTAAGATTGCCCCTGAGCTCTGGGCGTCAGAATTTGTGCGCTTTTGGGGGGAAGGGAAGAGACACGCGACTTGGGAGTTTGGAAATCGCTAACTAAACCAAACCCGTCGCATGATGCCATCTTGCGTCGCACTAAACCTTCGGTGACCCAACGGACCCTTGTTTTATGTTCCGCATGAGAGCATTTCCTCTCTGCACCACTAAAAAATTGGCCAACGAACGCCCCCAAGAATTCTGAGTTGAAGGCTGGTTGCAAGAACAGGGGAAATGATAAAAAAGGGTCCTCGCTTTGCCAGATGCGTGAGCAAAAAAGGTCTGGCTATTTTCTACTCTAGGGACCTCGCCTCTGAACCTGAAATACAGTTCCTACTTTGTTTAGTATTTTAAACGTTTACGGGACGTTTGCGGTAGCATTCAATATTTTTCAACGGGGAAAAAAAAAACTAAAATCCATTTGGGATCGAATTCCGTTCCGGATGGTATCAACTCTAAACACGCGGCCCTTTTGCGAGTTTAGGGTTGATGCCACACCGAGTCACATGCGGTGCCCCTATGGGTTTTAGTTTTAGTTTTTTTTTTTTTTTTTTGGTGCCCACATAGAATTCGTATAAAGGTTCCACCGCAGGGTTGCGACACGAAGCGCCCCCATGAACCTGCAAAATGTGTGACCCTGTGATGTGTACGTATTGTCTGGCAAATGAGGTGTAGTACAGGCTCGGAGACGAGGTCTTGAGGCAAGAAGCTGCCGGACCTTTTTTGCTCACGCCTCTTGCAAAGCGAGGACCCTTTTTTATCATTTCCCAAAGAATAGTCGAGGAGACTTCGCGGCAGAACCAAGATGATCCATTTTTTCAGATTGCTCGATCTCTGTCATATACGAGAGCCCCAAAGTTCTACTTTGAAGTTGCCCCCAATAAGGGTCACGCCCAGAGACATGGTTCAATTCACAAAAACTGTACAACACCCAAACCTTGTTTGGCGACACTTTATGGAACCCCCTTGAGGTTTTCCTTCATCGGATTCGAGAGGGCTCACAACCAGGGCTTACTTTTGGTTTTCAGCCACCCTTAAAAAATTGGGTTTCTTGAGCCTTTACTCTTATTTTTTAGGGTCCAGCATAAGGCAACCCTTAATCATTAGGGTTTATTCGCATAGTACCATTTTCACTACCACAATTAGAATCTACCAGGAGATGTATGGGCAAGATAAAATGGGCGTGAATAATGGGCACGGGGTTGGGGATATGAGGGGAGAATGACTAAAATCGAATGAGTGAGTTGTCTCCCCCTTTGTTTGTGACTACGATGTATGAGTGATGTGCTGTTAGGGGAGAAGAATGAAAATCTACTAAGGGAGTTGTCTCTTCTCTGAGTAACGTGCTGTGAGAGGAGAAGAATGAAATTATAGTAAGGGTGTTGTCTCCCCCCTGTTTGTGAATATGAGGTGTGAGTAACATACTATGAGGGGAGAAGAACGTAAATCTACTAAGGGAGTTGTCTCCCCTCTGTTTGTGACTAAGAGGTGTGAGTAACGTGCTGTGAGGGGAGAAGGACGAAAATATACTAAGGGAGTTTGTCTCCCTTCTGTTTGTGGATACGAGGTGTAAGTAACGTGCTGTGAGGGGAGAAGGACGAAAATATTCTAAGGGAGTTCTTACCCCTCTGTTTGTCACTTGGTGTGAGTACGTGCTGTGAGGGGGGAACAACAAAAATCTTCTAAGATAGTTGTTTCTCCTAAGGATATCCCCCATGTTGCCCTACCAGCACTAGTAGTACACTCAGGGTAGGAAAAGCAAATGCCCTTGAACTCTAGGGTCGTACTCTGAATAAACCCTTAATCCACCGGGTTCATAAAAAGCCAACCCTGAATTTGTGCGGCAAGCTGAAAAAATGCCATTTATTTGTCTCAAATTCAGGGCAACAACTCTTGAAAAATAGGCCTTGCTCACAACCTACACTCAAATTATTCACACAGAACCTAGGGCAAATAATTTGGCTACCGAACAGGCAGTCGATAAAGGATGGTTTATTGGCCAAGGAATCCTAGAAGCACATTCCATCACCGGCGATTTGGGTGCGCACAATAAACCAGCAAAGAATTCGGGTAGAGCCAGATTCTTTGCTGATTTATTACTAGCAAGGGGTACCGACGAGATGTTTAGGATACACCCGAATCGGGCAAGGCTGTGGTTAGAACGCCCTAAAAACAACTGCTTTGTGGTTGGCAGGAAAAATGCCTAAGGACGAACTCAAGAACCAGCTCATGGCGCGAGTTTTGTGTGCCCCCGAGCTTTGACGGGCATGCTCTAAATTTGGGCACAAGTATGCAGTCAACGCCACAATGACACGCGTGCAGCAGCACGGTTGGATGGGCTAGTCTTGGCAGGCCGTGCTTGCCTTGTTGTGCCAAGAATTTGTCGTTCGTCGGGACTTGGCAGCGTGATCTGTCGAGACATCTCGACTGTGGTCGAGTGCAAGTTTTGTGGTGTCAGGGAGTGTTTGTAGTAGGTGGCATCCAGAGTTGTATCATCCGAGAATGTTGGAAACCCATAGCAACCGTTGAAATTTCGAAATAACGTTTGGAATGGTTTTGTAACATTCTATTATGACACTATTACGGGATAATACCTAATAAAAACAGCCTCAGTGCAGTGTATCTAGTGCATAAATGCGGTGTGTGCCAAGTATGGAAGCATACAGAATGTGGGCGGTGTTGTTGTGTGCACTATATCATGCAAAAGACGATGTACTCGAGGGTACTCAGTAGGGCTTATGCTAGGTTCTAGGGTTGCGTAGCAGAACGCTCAGAGCTTCCCTGAAATTTCACCCTAATCACCCAAGAGCCGAAGAATGAGGGGTGTTGGGAGATAAGGAAACTTGTATTTTCAATGGATGGGGGGAGTGAACGGGGGGATGGGTAGGTAGGGGAAAATATCCGGGTCACTAGGAAATCCTCCCGGAGGTTCCATGATTGCCAAGAGGCCTACCGGATTTCGTCAGGGCTGGATGAACAGCACCCGGTTATAATCAGGATTTACAGAAAACATCTTTATAATTTCAGTCAAGTCAGGGCAAATGCCTTGATAACATAAGCCCAGCAGAGGCTTTGCACCTGAGAAGAATCCCCAAGGGAGCATGGTCTCATCTCGTCCACACAGAGTTCCGCGCCATGAAAATTTCGACCCTACATGACGGATTCGCGTCGCGGTGCACTTTGAGGCACGAACCGAGGAATTCCCTAAAATTTAGAGCGTGTCTAGAATGCAGTCTGTCATCCGCTGTCATCCGATGACAGGACGAATCGTAGCCGCTGCCATCCATCCGTATGGGAATCGACGGACGAGACTCGTTCTGCATCCGCTGTCATCCGCTGTCACAACACTTTGGACACGTTCTTAGAGAACCTCGATGCTGTACAAGAGATACCTCCGGAGCCTAGGAAGGCAGACAACCACAACCCCTGCGCCGAAATGCTTCCCTATACCCCGAGGAAAGATGATGAGCGGAACGAGTGCCAGCCACGGCGAGAAAGTAGAACGACAGGAAGGACGTATTTGGAAAAAAACGGCTTATGTGATGCCATTGTGAGACGTACTTTAGCTTTTTGGCTCGCATTTCGAACCTCGATCGACACGAAGTTCAGAGTTATGCAGAACTATCCCCTTCGTAACTAGATGGTAACTTCCTTCGTTCTAAAGGTTCTGTGCCTGAACCACTCTAACGAACGCGTCGGAAGCACAAACAGGCCCAAGAATGGAGTATACCATGAGCCAGCCAGTGTACGGATGGACCAAGGCGGCCTAGAATTTCGGTGAAGTGATCCTAGCATAATTCTTCTTCATTGGTTTGTGAGCGGGCTTATCCAGTCCCACACATTGGTTTCAACGAAACGGATCACCTCAGAAGGCTCCTAGCAGCTACTTAGGAAGCATAAGTCTTACTTACCCTGGGATTAACATCCAAACTAGTAGGATGGCGGAGCAACCGTTAGGATCCGAACCGTCGAAACGCACGTTTAGCGAAAGCGCATGATCACGCGTACACCAGCAATGCGGCGAGTATTAATGGGGTCACCATGACATCTCGGCCCTCCCGCATCAGCACCGCTGTCTCTCGGCTCATCCTTCCCCTTCAGAATACCTTGTTCCGACCTCTTAAAGCCCGCAGTCCGGATTGTCCAAGAAGGGGGGGTTGGTAAACACTTGAAGCTGTGTAGCGAACTTTTTACTAGGGCTTCGGAGGTTGGCAAACTTTTTTGGGGGTTCGCTATCCAACCAAAAATTCCCCCCCCGTTCAACTGTTTTAAACCCGCGTGCCAAGTAGTTCAATGGTAGGAAGGTTGATTGGATAGGAGAACGGGATTGGTTGTCCAGTAGTTCTCCTAGGGAACTCTCAATCAAAGGTAGGAAGCTCGAGGCGATTTTGGGACATTTGGTACGCGGGTTTTAACTTCTGGACAATCCGGACTGCGGGCTTTAGAAGTCACAGTGACACTGCTAGCAGCGCTGGCGTCGCGAGCGTTGCTACGAGCGTCGGAAGCGTCGCGGGTGTCGCAAGCGTTCGTAGCAGTAGCGCGAGGAGGAGTAGCATTGACGCCGTCAGGACTAGTACTAGCGGCGCCGACACCGGCTAAGTAGCGGTTAATTCGCTGGAAAACTCGGCGGCGACTGCAGCGGCGGCGGCGGCGGTGGCGGAGACGGCTGTAGCAGGAGCTGGCATGGAGAAAGCTCGAGATAATTCGAGGGAGAGAGAGGAGGAAAAGGAGGAGGAGGAGAAAGATTTAGAAGCGGCTTCAGCGGGAGGTCCTGCTACGTGCTCTGCCGCGGTGCTTTTCGAGGGTGAGCGAGAATTAGCAACTCCGCGCGGCGGCTCTACCATAGGTGCTGTTATGCCCCCCGCGTCGGTGCTGTTATGCGCTCCGTGTCGGTGCTGTTATGCGCTCCGCGTCGATGCTGTTATGCGCTCCGTGTCGGTGCTGTTATGTGCTCCGTGTCGGTGCTGTTATGCCCCCCGCGTCGGTGCTGTTATGCGTTCCGCGTCGGTGCTGTTATGTGCTTCGTGTCGGTGCTGTTATGCGATCCGTGTCGGTGCTGTTATGCACTCCGTGTCGGTGCTGTTATGCGCTCCGCGTCGGTGCTGTTATGTGTTTCGTGTCGGTGCTGTTATGCGCTCCGTGTCGGTGCTGTTATGCGCTCCGTGTCGGTGCTGTTATGCGCTCCGTGTCGGTGCTGTTGTGCGCTTCGTGTCGGTGCTGTTATGCGCTCCGTGTCGGTGCTGTTATGCGCTCCGTGTCGGTGCTGTTATGCGCTCCGTGTCGGTGCTGTTATGCGCTCCATGTCGGTGCTGTTATGCGCTCCGCGTCGGTGCTGTTATGTGTTTCGTGTCGGTGCTGTTATGCGCTCCGTGTTGGTGCTGTTATGCGCTCCGTGTCAGTGCTGTTATGCGCTGTGTGTCGGTGCTGTTACGCGCTCCGTGTCGGTGCTGTTGTGCGCTTCGTGTCGGTGCTGTTATGCGGTCCGTGTCGGTGCTGTTATGCGCTCCGTGTCAGTTCTGTTATGTGTTTCGAGTCGGTGCTGTTATGCGCTCCGCGTCGGTGCTGTTATGTGTTTCGTGTCGGTGCTGTTATGCGCTCCGTGTTGGTGCTGTCATGCGCTCCGTGTCGGTGCTGTTATGCGCTCCGTGTCGGTGCTGTTATGCGCTCCGCGTCGGTGCTGTTATGTGTTTCGTGTCGGTGCTGTTATGCGCTCCGTGTTGGTGCTGTTATGCGCTCCGTGTCGGTGCTGTTATGCGATCCGTGTCGGTTCTGTTATGCGCTCCGTGTCGGTGCTGTTATGCGCTCCGCGTCGGTGCTGTTATGTGTCTCGTGTTGGTGCTGTTATGCGCTCCGTGTCGGTGCTGTTATGCGCTCCGTGTCGGTGCTGTTATGCGCTCCGCGTCGGTGCTGTTATGTGTTTCGTGTCGGTGCTGTTATGCGCTCCGCGTCGGTGCTGTTATGTGTTTCGTGTCGGTGCTGTTATGCGCTCCGTGTTGGTGCTGTTATGCGCTCCGTGTCGGTGCTGTTATGCGCTGTGTGTCGGTGCTGTTATGCGCTCCGTGTCGGTGCTGTTATGCGATCCGTGTCGGTTCTGTTACGCGCTCCGTGTCGGTGCTGTTATGCGCTCCGCGTCGGTGCTGTTATGCGTTCCGCGTCGGTGCTGTTATCTGCTTCGTGTAGGTGCTGTTATGCGCTCCGTGTTGGTGCTGTTATGCGCTCCGTGTCAGTGCTGTTATGCGCTGTGTGTCGGTGCTGTTATGCGCTCCGTGTTGGTGCTGTTGTGCGCTTCGTGTCGGTGCTGTTATGCGGTCCGTGTCGGTGCTGTTATGCGCTCCGTGTCGGTGCTGTTATGCGCTCCGCGTCGGTGCTGTTATGTGTTTCGTGTCGGTGCTGTTATGCGCTCCGTGTTGGTGCTGTTATGCGCTCCGTGTCGGTGCTGTTATGCGCTCCGTGTCGGTGCTGTTATGCGCTCCGCGTCGGTGCTGTTATGTGTTTCGTGTCGGTGCTGTTATGCGCTCCGTGTTGGTGCTGTTATGCGCTCCGTGTCGGTGCTGTTATGCGATCCGTGTCGGTTCTGTTATGCGCTCCGTGTCGGTGCTGTTATGCGCTCCGCGTCGGTGCTGTTATGTGTTTCGTGTCGGTGCTGTTATGCGCTCCGTGTTGGTGCTGTTATGCGCTCCGTGTCGGTGCTGTTATGCGCTCCGTGTCGGTGCTGTTATGCGCTCCGCGTCGGTGCTGTTATGTGTTTCGTGTCGGTGCTGTTATGCGCTCCGTGTTGGTGCTGTTATGCGCTCCGTGTCAGTGCTGTTATGCGCTGTGTGTCGGTGCTGTTATGCGCTCCGTGTTGGTGCTGTTGTGCGCTTTGTGTCGGTGCTGTTATGCGGTCCGTGTCGGTGCTGTTATGCGCTCCGTGTCGGTGCTGTTATGCGCTCCGCGTCGGTGCTGTTATGTGTTTCGTGTCGGTGCTGTTATGCGCTCCGTGTTGGTGCTGTTATGCGCTCCGTGTCGGTGCTGTTATGCGCTCCGTGTCGGTGCTGTTATGCGCTCCGCGTCGGTGCTGTTATGTGTTTCGTGTCGGTGCTGTTATGCGCTCCGTGTTGGTGCTGTTATGCGCTCCGTGTCGGTGCTGTTATGCGCTGTGTGTCGGTGCTGTTATGCGCTCCGCGTCGGTGCTGTTATGTGTTTCGTGTAGGTGCTGTTATGCGCTCCGTGTCGGTGCTGTTATGCGCTCCGTGTCGGTGCTGTTATGCGCTCCGCGTCGGTGCTGTTATGTGTTTCGTGTCGGTGCTGTTATGCGCTCGGTGTTGGTGCTGTTATGCGGTCCGTGTCGGTGCTGTTATGCGTTCCGTGTCGGTGCTGTTATGCGCTCTGTGTCAGTGCTGTTATGCGCTCCGCGTCGGTGCTGTTATGTGTTTCGTGTCGTTGCTGTTATGCGCTCGGTGTTGGTGCTGTTATGCGCTCCGTGTCGGTGCTGTTATGTGCTCCGTGTCGGTGCTGTTATGCGCTCCGCGTCGGTGCTGTTATGTGTTTCGTGTCGGTGCTGTTATGCGCTCCGTGTTGGTGCTGTTATGCGCTCCGTGTCGGTGCTGTTATGCGCTCTGTGTTGGTGCTGTTATGCGCTCCGCGTCGGTGCTGTTATGTGTTTCGTGTCGGTGCTGTTATGCGCTCCGTGTTGGTGCTGTTATGCGCTCCGTGTCGGTGCTGTTATGCGCTCCGTGTCGGTGCTGTTGTGCGCTTCGTGTCGGTGCTGTTATGCGCTCCGTGTCGGTGCTGTTATGCGGTCCGTGTCGGTGCTGTTATGCGCTCTGTGTCGGTGCTGTTATGCGCTCCGCGTCGGTGCTGTTATGCGCTCCGTGTCGGTGCTGTTATGCGCTCCGCGTCGGTGCTGTTATGTGTTTCGTGTCGGTGCTGTTATGCGCTCCGTGTTGGTGCTGTTATGCGCTCCGTGTCGGTGCTGTTATGCGCTGTGTGTCGGTGCTGTTATGCGCTCCGTGTCGGTGCTGTTATGCGATCCGTGTCGGTTCTGTTATGCGCTCCGTGTCGGTGCTGTTATGCGCTCCGCGTCGGTGCTGTTATGCGTTCCGCGTCGGTGCTGTTATGTGCTTCGTGTCGGTGCTGTTATGCGATCCGTGTCGGTGCTGTTATGCACTCCGTGTCGGTGCTGTTATGCGCTCCGCGTCGGTGCTGTTATGTGTTTCGTGTCGGTGCTGTTATGCGCTCCGTGTCGGTGCTGTTATGCGCTCCGTGTCGGTGCTGTTATGTGCTCCGTGTCGGTGCTGTTGTGCGCTTCGTGTCGGTGCTGTTATGCGCTCCGTGTCGGTGCTGTTATGCGGTCCGTGTCGGTGCTGTTATGCGCTCTGTGTCGGTGCTGTTATGCGCTCCGCGTCGGTGCTGTTATGTGTTTCGAGTCGGTGCTGTTATGCGCTCCGTGTTGGTGCTGTTATGCGCTCCGTGTCGGTGCTGTTATGCGCTCTGTGTCGGTGCTGTTATGCGCTCCGCGTCGGTGCTGTTATGTGTTTCGTGTCGGTGCTGTTATGCGCTCCGTGTTGTGCTGTTATGCGCTCCGTGTCGGTGCTGTTATGCGCTCCGTGTCGGTGCTGTTATGCGCTCCGCGTCGGTGCTGTTATGTGTTTCGTGTAGGTGCTGTTATGCGCTCCGTGTCGGTGCTGTTATGCGCTCCGTGTCGGTGCTGTTATGCGCTCCGCGTCGGTGCTGTTATGTGTTTCGTGTCGGTGCTGTTATGCGCTCCGTGTTGGTGCTGTTATGCGCTCCGTGTCGGTGCTGTTATGCGCTCCGTGTCGGTGCTGTTATGCGCTCCGCGTCGGTGCTGTTATGTGTTTCGTGTCGGTGCTGTTATGCGCTCCGTGTTGGTGCTGTTATGCGCTCCGTGTCGGTGCTGTTATGCGCTGTGTGTCGGTGCTGTTATGCGCTCCGTGTCGGTGCTGTTATGCGATCCGTGTCGGTTCTGTTATGCGCTCCGTGTCGGTGCTGTTATGCGCTCCGCGTCTGTGCTGTTATGCGCTCCGCGTCGGTGCTGTTATGTGTTTCGTGTCGGTGCTGTTATGCGCTCCGTGTTGTGCTGTTATGCGCTCCGTGTCGGTGCTGTTATGCGCTCCGTGTCGGTGCTGTTATGCGCTCCGCGTCGGTGCTGTTATGTGTTTCGTGTCGGTGCTGTTATGCGCTCCGTGTCGGTGCTGTTATGCGCTCCGTGTCGGTGCTGTTATGCGCTCCGTGTCGGTGCTGTTGTGCGCTTCGTGTCGGTGCTGTTATGCGCTCCGTGTCGGTGCTGTTATGCGGTCCGTGTCGGTGCTGTTATGCGCTCTGTGTCGGTGCTGTTATGCGCTCCGCGTCGGTGCTGTTATGTGTTTCGAGTCGGTGCTGTTATGCGCTCCGTGTTGGTGCTGTTATGCGCTCCGTGTCGGTGCTGTTATGCGCTCTGTGTCGGTGCTGTTATGCGCTCCGCGTCGGTGCTGTTATGTGTTTCGTGTCGGTGCTGTTATGCGCTCCGTGTTGTGCTGTTATGCGCTCCGTGTCGGTGCTGTTATGCGCTCCGTGTCGGTGCTGTTATGCGCTCCGCGTCGGTTCTGTTATGTGTTTCGTGTAGGTGCTGTTATGCGCTCCGTGTCGGTGCTGTTATGCGCTCCGTGTCGGTGCTGTTATGCGCTCCGCGTCGGTGCTGTTATGTGTTTCGTGTCGGTGCTGTTATGCGCTCCGTGTTGGTGCTGTTATGCGCTCCGTGTCGGTGCTGTTATGCGCTCCGTGTTGGTGCTGTTATGCGCTCCGCGTCAGTGCTGTTATGTTTCAACGTCACACGATCGCCGCGGTTCTGTTTTGAGGGAGGGTGAGCGATACCGCTACCCTAACGTAGTAGTGACCTGGCGTTATTAATCGTTGTTTCTTACCAAGAAAGCAGCCAATTGCAGACGAAAGCAGCCAATAGCACGAAAGCAGCCCTCAGTGGAGTTGCGTTGATCAAGTGGGAGAGTCTCGGAAATAGGAGCCACGCACAGAAGCCTTACTACACGCCCATTCCGCTCACCCTCTCAGGGCTAATCGGTTCTGCTCACCCTCTCATCCTTACCCGCCCATTCCGCCCTGCCTCGTCCTACAACCCTCTTCCGCCGCCCATCCCCACCCATCTGCCCCCGCTTTCTCTCCGCCTTTGCCCGCCCGTTTTTCACCCGCCCGTCTTCCCCCTACGTCTCCTCTTCCCCCCCCCCCGTCTCCACCCCCCGTCTTCCCCATCCACCTTCCCCCACCCAGCACCCACCGCCTTCCGCCACCTGCGTTTCCCACCCATCATCCCCCACCCAGCCTCGCCATCCGAACTGCTCCGTGCTTCTTCTTCCCCCTGCTTCCACCCCCGCTCCGCCCGCTTCCCCCGCGATTCCGCCGCTCCTTCCGCCGCCGCTCCCCTTTTTCCACCCCTCCTGCCGCGCGGATCACAGAGACGTGGCTTCTCATTCCGCATCTCCCCCTCCCGCCCTGCCCGCACCCCCCCTTCCCTGCCCGCATCCCCTTCCCGCCCGCTCCCCCCGCCCACTCCCCCCCCGCTTCCCCTGCACTTCCGCCGCCTCTTCCACCCCACCTTCCGCCCCGCGTATCACATAGGCGTGTCGTTTCATTCTACTTCCCCCTCCCACCCTGCCCAGCGTTCGTGCCTCCCTGCCCCACCCGAACAGCCCAGCGTTCGTGCCTCCCTGCCCCACCCGAACAGCCCAGCGTTCGTGCCTCCCTGCCCCACCCGAACAGCCCAGCGTTTGCGCCTCCCTGCGCTGCACGCCAGTGCTGGCTGCGGGATGACCGTTGAGTCGACTCAAAAGTCACCATCACTCGCTCCTCCCTGCTCCCTGATGCTAGCGGCAGCGTGGCTTCTCTGTGGCATGGACGTCGCCGTATGGCTGCTCTAGAACCCCACGTGGCATCTGACTGACTATGTCCACATGGATCCCGGAGACGTGTGGTCTCATTCACGTCCCCCTCTCCCTGTCTCCTGCCTCTCCCCTCTCTCCCCTCGCTCTCCCCACTCTCTCCCCTCTCTCCACTCTCCCAGCACCCTGGTTCGCAGTGCTGGTGGCGGCATGGCTGGTCTGTGGGCTGGTCGTAGCAGCATGGCTGCTGTATGCCAGGCACTCTGAATACGTGGCGCACAGAGACGAGGCGCTGGGCGTGTGGTGCAAGGAGCGCGCGCTCATGCTGCAGCAGCTGGTGCTCACCCATGCTGGCCAGACTCAGGTAGGACTCAGGTAGGACTCAGGTTGGACTCAGGTAGCACTCAGGTGAGACTCAGGTGAGACTCAGGTGAGACTCAGGTAGCACTCAGGTGAGACTCAGGTGAGACTCAGGTGAGACTCAGGTGAGTCTCAGGTAGCACTCAGGTGAGACTCAGGTGAGACTCAGGTGAGACTCAGGTGAGACTCAGGTGAGACTCAGGTGAGACTCAGGTAGCACTCAACTCAGGTAGGATTCAGGGTTCCCATTGGTTCCCGTCGGTTCCCAACGGTTCCCATCCACAAAGACTCGCTGTCATTATTTCTATCATGGGAAGCCGGGACAGACGGGCCAATGGGATTTGGACGCGTGGTTTGGGCCTCTTTATAGTAACGGACTTATGTTGTCACCCCCCGCCCCCCCCCCTCCCCCCCCCTCCCCCCCCCTCCCCCCCCCCCAACCCCAGACACTCGCCGGCATTATCTCAGTCATGGGCAAGCCCGGGCAGACGGGCCGGTGGGAGTTGAACACGTGTTTGAACGGCAGCACGTGGGGGGACTACCTCACTGGCACTGCGTACGCACGGCCGGGGAACACCGGGGCGGTCTCTTGCGTGTTTGTGAGAGATGAGGAGAGGTGAGGTGGGGGAAGAGGTGAGGTGGGGGAAGAGGTGAGGTGGGGGAAGAGGTGAAGGTGGGGGAAGAGGTGAGGTTGGGGAACGAGAGGTATGCCTCATTCTCACGGTGTATGCAAGGCTGAGGAACTCGGGGACTGTCTCTTGCATGCTTGTTAGGGCTGGAGAGAGGTGCAGGGGTATGGAGGTGAGGAGGGAGGAGGAATCTGAACACGTTTTTGAACGCTATCATGATGTCTATTATTCGTTTTTTTTTTTTTTTTTTTTTTTTTTCTCTCTTTTTTTTCTACTATTTGTGACATACCAACCCGAACACATTGATGCAAGGTCTCCTTCGAGCAACGTTGCACCATTATGTGAGACAGCAAGTTGCTTTGAGTAGTATGTCTACTTCCTAGCGACCTCCTATTCCCATCTTTCCTTCCCCATTTACCACACACACATTGCTCCACGGACCCCTTTGGACAGCGCTATGGCAGCATAAGAGGCATCACTCTGAATGTCCGTGCTTGCCTGCCGCCGCATCTATTCCCCCGAGATCCTCGAGCATTTTTGCTGTGCCCCCCACCCCATTTACCTTGCGCATGTTTCAGGGCCTCCTTTGAGCATCGCTATGGCAGCATAAGAGACAACACTCTGAACGTCAGTGCCCGTCGCCCCATCTACTGCCCCAAGATCCTCCAGCTCTCGACAACGGTCGCGATGAACGGCACGGGGAATGTCGATCTAATGAAGCGGTATTCCACAGAGATTCCATACGCCGAGGCGGGAAGGCCCTTCTACACGTGGCCGTATCCCCTGGTTAGCCCACCAGGCCATGCTGGATTCGGTGAGTCACTGGTGGTAGTGTAGTTGAACGGGACTATCAAGCCGGCGAAGTGATATCCCTCGGAAATTCCCTTGGCGGAGGAGGGAAGGCCCTTCTACACGTGGCTGTATTTCCTGGTTAGCCCACCAGGCCATGCTGGATTCGGTGAGTCACAATTAATGGAGATGGTCGTGTAGACTGTTGTGCTGTAGACTGTTGTGCTGTAGACTGTTGTGCTGTAGACTGTTGTGCTGTAGACTGTTGTGGTGTGCCATGTTGAGATGTAGCAAGCAAGCACCACAGTTGAACAGCCGTGGTTTGGTTCAAATCGATATAGGTTGGGAGAGTAGGTTTAGCTCGTTTGGGTTTCAAACGTGACTAGCATTTGCCGAGCTACGTGCCTTGAATTAAGGTGGAAGCTGCTTTCTTGGATCAAGTAAATAGAAGGCTTGCTTTTGTCCTCTCCCTCACATTGCCGTTGCTGCAGGTGTGGCATTTCCTCTCTGTCGCAGCCTCTCTACAAACCACACGAGGCATGCAGTTGCATTGACAGTGTATGGGACGCTTGCTGCCTCTGTTGACGTGACATCCATTGTAAAGAAGGTCCTGGAAGAGTTGTACGTGGCAGGTGAGTGACATAGTCGCATTGTGAGCCGTGCTTAGATGCAACGTATAGATTTATAGGCCCAAAATGACGTTGAGCTTTGATTCATCTATAGCTCAAAATGACGTTTGAGTACGCCTTGAGAACTGTCGACGCAAGATTGGAGATAGAGCAGGGTTGCAGTGCCTACCTGCGAGCTTAATTAGGTTTCTGAAACAAAGACATCAGGACGATGGTCATGGAACAAAGAGTGAGGAGTGTGTAACAAAGAGTGAGGACTGTGTAACAAAGAGTGAGGAGTGTGTAAAAAAGAGTGAAGAGTGTGTAACAAAGAGTGAGGAGTGTGTAACAGAGTGAGGAGTGTGTAACAAAGAGTGAGGAGTGTGAGTCACTTAGTGATGCAGGACCTGTGGAGGTGTAGATTGCGGGCACGACACACGAGTACATTGGTGATCACTGGTGTTTGATTAGACCTGTTTGAGATCAGCACACGTGCTGTGTCTCTAACCAAACCGAAGGTCATTTGTGACCTTCGGCCACGGCCTCTCGCATCGTATAGAGCAAGCATGAAGCTCCTCCACTATGCCCTAATCCACTCTTTCTCTCTCCCCCCCTCGCCCCTCCCCTCTCCCCCACTCTCCCCCCCCTCTCCCCCCCCTCTCCCCCCCCCCTCTCCCCCCCCTCTCCCCCCCCTCTCCCCCCCCCTCTCCCCCCCCTCTCCCCCCCCCTCCCCCCCCCACTCTCCCCCCCCCCCCCTCTCCCCCCCCCTCTCCCCCCCCTCTCCCCCCCCGCCCCCTCCCTCACCCCCTCCCATCCATCTAGACCCATCAAAATCCTTTGAGCTCTACGACGTTACGGATTCGCCTTCCCTCTTCGCCATCGTCTCACCAGTCCCGCTGCACGCCTACTTCCTCCCCAACGACACCCGCCCGCGCATGCTCCCCTCTCCTGCGTCCGAAACTCGCTCCTGGGAGGCTCCCCACAGTGGTGCCTCTGGAGGAGATGGGAGCCGGCGTGCGCAAGTACGAGGTCTGGTGCAGGTGAGCCAGGCATGGGCAGTCGAGGCGAGTAAAACTCGACTCGATTGCTCGACTCGTTTTTTCACCCCCTGAAAATTGCTCGCCTCGAGTCGAGTCGAATTAACTCGTCGAGTAAACGAGTACTCGTCTGTTACTCGCCTCTTTTGGGCGAGTAAAAATTACTCGCGAGCAAAAATTGCTCGCGAGTAACAACTCCCCGCGTTCACCGATTCTGCTCACACATAGCGTGCATGCCATGTCGTGTTGGACTGACCTAACAATTGAGACCCCTAAATAAAGCTATGTGACCAAAAACGCAAAACGCTGGGCTGTTTTTCTTGTTTTCCTGGCTGCCCTCGAGAAATTGCGAAGAAACCAATCGCAACTGCTCGATGTGGTGAATTCGAGCGGAATGTCAACATTTTCGCCAGATATGACTTCCAACCAATTCCCCCCACTTCAAACTGCACTGAACCCGTCTGCAACTACGAAATCCACCCCCCTCCCCTATAACCAACCTTTTTTCGACCTGCCGAACGTTTTTGGCTTGCCCGCCTGAGCGTTAATCAAGCGTTTGCCAGGCCAGAAATCAAGCGTTTAGCGTTCAAACGCTCCCCTCCTAAACAGCCCCCGAGGCGAGTCATGCTTGCCTTAGGGCGAGTAAAAATTACTCGCCCCAAGTAAAGCGATTACTTGCCTCAAAAACGAGTAAACGAGTCCGGTTCTTGGCATAAAAACTCGACTCAAGTAATGCTCGACTCGCCTCCCAAGAAGGTCGAGTCAGAATTACTCGAGGCAAGTAATGCTGGACTCGCCTATTGCCCATGCTTAAGGTGAGCCTCTAGAGGTGTTGTGTGAGTGAGACTGCCTTGCTCGTCGACTAAAAGGGCCTGCGCTCAGCATTCCCTGGAAATGCAGCTCTTATCCGCGTCTTCCTTCTGTGTCCCCCGTCTTGCAGAGATTTTGTTTTTGAGAATTCTCAAAAACAAAACACATCCTACTGTGTCCCCCATTTTGCAGAGATTTTTCCCAGGGCAAAATGAACACGCACAATCTTCCCATCTCATGATTCTTTCCCCCCATATTCCCATCCCATTCTTATTCCCCCCATCCAGGCACACACAGCCTCCCAGCGTGTGGTTCTCATGGGGGATCCCCATCCTCATCGCCCTCTTCACCCTCCTCCTTATGGTGCTTGTGCTGGTGGCGGCACGGCTGCAGCGGGCCAAGTTCATTAAGACGCAGGAGCAGGTGGCGGAGGCAGGCAGGCTGAGGAGGAAGGCGGAGGAGGCTGAGGCGTCTAAGAGCATGTTTGTGGCATCGATGTCGCATGAGCTCAGGACGCCCATGACGGGGATCATTGGTAAGGTCGAGTCCCTCTAACCTTGTTGCTTGCGGCCACTTGCAAGCCACATCACATCAGCCATGGTGGCACGCCGATGTCTCGTGGGCTTTGGGCATGGAAGATGGGGAGTATTGGCATGATCGAGTCCTTGGTCCTTCTTTAACATGCCTGCCAATGTTTAGCGGTGCCAGGAAACATCGCCTGAAATCGTGTTGACAAATTTTACCATGACAATCCATTCTATCCCCCATCCCTCTTCTAACCTCCCACTCCCACCGCCAGGAATGCTTGATGCTCTAGCGGACATGGCTCTTGACCCTCCAGAGCAATCCGACCTCGTCATGGCACGCGCCTCCGCCATGGATGCACTGCACCTGATCAACCGAGTGCTTGACCTGGCGAAGCTGGAGGCCGGCAAGGCCGTGGTGGACGAGACGGTCGTTGATGTGCGCGCGTGGCTTCAAGCGGCGTTGGATTGGCATGCAGAGGCTGCACAGGCTAAGGGAATTGGATGTGAGTGTTGTTTTTAGGTGCCTAGCAAACCGACCTGGCAATGCTGGAGGCTGCAAGCCGGGAGGTTGGGTGTGGTGGACGAGACGGTCGTTGTTGTGCGCGCGTGGCTTCAAGCGGCGTTGGATTGGCATGGGGATCACACACGTTTTTAAGGCGTTGAATGCCAGTGTACATTGTGTCAAGTGGAGTTATGACAGTTATAATTAATTGTACAGTTCTTGTTGTGGTTGAATGTTCAACGTTCAACGGCTTTGAATGTTCAACGTGCTCCTTTTGCTGCTAGTTGCAAACCTTTCAAAACCGACATTGCGACGTTTGTTCGTCGTCCGCATATTCCCTCCGCGGAATGATTTTTGAGGCGCCTTTTGAGGCGCCTCAAGGATCCAAAACGAGACACGGCGTTCGCGCGTCTTCCCAAAACTCCCAGTTTTTGGCGCAATGTCTGGGACTAGTTTGAGACACGCCATTGGTTCTCGAGTCTACCACCCCAAAATCGGCTGGCTATCCAAACACACCATCCAGACCCGGAACCAGCTCATGCAGACCCGTATCCAAATCATCCGCACCACGGTGCCGATCTGGAAACGTGGAAGCAAACAATGAGCTGGCAATCCATGTGCACATCCAGCTCTATTACAGATCAAGGGTGAGTTGCTGTTCTAAATAAGCGTTTTTCCCATGTTTTTGTCTCCACCTGCCTGGTTGACCTGCAGTGTGTGGCACGGTGGACGAAGACATTCCCACTCATGTCATTGCTGATCAGATGCACCTCTCCAAAGTGCTCAAGGAAATCGCAGGTGAACTAAAATACTGTGGGTTATGTGGTAACCCTAACGGCCAGGTGCACCTATCGAAAGCACTCAACAGCATTACAGGTATTTGTAAGAAATGAACTTTCATGACCAAATTGACCGACTTACCCTGCTAGGCTCATTAGGTAACTACGACAACCATGTTGGGCATTCCCAGAAGGGAAGGTTAAACCTTGATGGCTCGAAGGTGGCTCAAACCTTGATATACTGGCGAGTAATTAGATGTCAGCCCACCATCCTTCATCGACCCTGTTTATGCTGATCCACCATCGATCATTTAGCCACAAGCCCCTGCTTGTAAGCTGCCTGCCTCTATTTCTTCATGTTCTGGATTTCATTTCTGGTTACCACCTCCTTGGTTACGTTACAGACAACGCTGTCAAGTTCACCGAGCACGGTCACGTGTCGGTGCGGGTGTCCCTGGTGCCGCAAGGGACAAGCTTGCAAGACACCCTTCAATTCCAGGGTAAGCGAGTTTTTGAGCTGAGAAGGGGGTGGATGTGACCAGCCGCAAGCCTTCTTGGAGTAGATCTAGAACCAAGACTAAGCTAAGAGATGAGAAAGGTTGTAAACACAAGTATATAGTCAGAAATCAAGACACAATAGGTCTGGATGCTGCGTGCGATCGTGTACCGGCCAGAGATGGCCTAAATCGGATGACATTCAAATCTAGTCCTCACCCACGCTCTCAATTTATGTCACGATTTGCTCAATTTGTGTCACGTTTTTATTCCTCTCTAAGTGGGCCATGCGTTGATACGCGGTCCATGGCCCTACCCCGCTCGCTCTCTCTCCCCCTCCCTCCACATGTCCTCCCTTACTCCAGGCCTTTCCACAACCACCCCACACGCGCCCACTACAGCGCCCACTACTACTACTACTCGGGTCCCCGCCGGATTTTTCTCAAGACAGGGCAGGGCTCCGTCCCGCTTCTCCTCGCGATGGGGCTGGCTTCAGGAGGCTATGTGGGGATCGGCAGCAGCAGCAGTAGCAGCAGCAGCAGCAGTAGCAGCAGGGGCAGCAGGAGCACAAAGAGCACCCGGCAATGCATCAAGCCGAGCACGAGATAAGAAGGGGCATGGCAGGAGTCATTCGGGGCGGAGTGAGGACCATGGAGTGCTCGTGGTGTCGTGCCAGGACTCGGGCTGTGGCCTCCCAGCGCCTCTCCACAGAGCCGAGGGCAGCGGCGGGGCTTCGTACTTGTCTCTCACGGTGAGGGCTCAACTTGCATATCAGCATTCCCTCACTCTTACCCCCTCACCCTTCACTTCCGCCCTCTGCTGCAAACTAGTTTCGGCTGACCGGGACAGGCCCCAACTCAGACCTTCATGAGCGCTGGTGGAGTTCCCTATCTCGTACCCCCTCACCCTCCACATTTCTCTCCACGCCCACTGCCCTGCCCCTGCCCGGCTCTCTTCCCTCCTATATTCCCTCTCTAATCCTGCCCCTCCTGCCCCTCCTGCTCTCCGGATCATCCTTTCCCTCGGCACCCCCCATCCTCCAGGAACCACGTGAGGAGACACGGAGTGGATCAGGGGCATCACTTGGGCTCGTGCTGGTGCAGCAGATGGTGAGTTGATGGTGCAGCAGATGGTGAGTTGATGGTGCAGCAGATGGTGAGTTGATGGTGCAGCAGATGGTGAGTTGATGGTGCAGCAGATGGTGAGTTGATGGTGCAGCAGATGGTGAGTTGATGGTGCAGCAGATGGTGAGTTGATGGTGCAGCAGATGGTGAGTTGATGGTGCAGCAGATGGTGAGTTGATGGTGCAGCAGATGGTGAGTTGATGGTGCAGCAGATGGTGAGTTGATGGTGCAGCAGATGGTGAGTTGATGGTGCAGCAGATGGTGAGTTGATGGTGCAGCAGATGGTGAGTTGATGGTGCAGCAGATGGTGAGTTGATGGTGCAGCAGATGGTGAGTTGATGGTGCAGCAGATGGTGAGTTGATGGTGCAGCAGATGGTGAGTTGATGGTGCAGCAGATGGTGAGTTGATGGTGCAGCAGATGGTGAGTTGATGGTGCAGCAGATGGTGAGTTGATGGTGCAGCAGATGGTGAGTTGATGGTGCAGCAGATGGTGAGTTGATGGTGCAGCAGATGGTGAGTTGATGGTGCAGCAGATGGTGAGTTGATGGTGCAGCAGATGGTGAGTTGATGGTGCAGCAGATGGTGAGTTGATGGTGCAGCAGATGGTGAGTTGATGGTGGCAGCAGATGGTGAGTTGATGGTGCAGCAGATGGTGAGTTGATGGTGCAGCAGATGGTGAGTTGATGGTGCAGCAGATGGTGAGTTGATGGTGCAGATGGGAGATGGTGCAGCAGATGGTGAGTTGATGGTGCAGCAGATGGTGAGTTGATGGTGCAGCAGATGGTGAGTTGATGGTGCAGCAGATGGTGAGTTGATGGTGCAGCAGATGGTGAGTTGATGGTGCAGCAGATGGTGAGTTGATGGTGGCAGCAGATGGTGAGTTGATGGTGGCAGCAGATGGTGAGTTGATGGTGCAGCAGATGGTGAGTTGATGGTGCAGCAGATGGTGAGTTGATGGTGCAGCAGATGGTGAGGAGGTGCAGATGTGAGATGGTGCAGCAGATGGTGAGTTGATGGTGCAGCAGATGGTGAGTTGATGGTGCAGCAGATGGTGAGTTGATGGTGCAGCAGATGGTGAGTTGATGGTGCAGCAGATGGTGAGTTGATGGTGCAGCAGATGGTGAGTTGATGGTGCAGCAGATGGTGAGTTGATGGTGCAGCAGATGGTGAGTTGATGGTGCAGCAGATGGTGAGTTGATGGTGCAGCAGATGGTGAGTTGGATGGTGCAGCAGATGGTGAGTTGAATGGTGCAGCAGATGGTGAGTTGATGGTGCAGCAGATGGTGAGTTGATGGTGCAGCAGATGGTGAGTTGATGGTGCAGCAGATGGTGAGTTGATGGTGCAGCAGATGGTGAGTTGATGGTGCAGCAGATGGTGAGTTGATGGTGCAGCAGATGGTGAGTTGATGGTGCAGCAGATGGTGAGTTGATGGTGCAGCAGATGGTGAGTTGATGGTGCAGCAGATGGTGAGTTGATGGTGCAGCAGATGGTGAGTTGATGGTGCAGCAGATGGTGAGTTGATGGTGCAGCAGATGGTGAGTTGATGGTGCAGCAGATGGTGAGTTGATGGTGCAGCAGATGGTGAGTTGATGGTGCAGCAGATGGTGAGTTGATGGTGCAGCAGATGGTGAGTTGATGGTGCAGCAGATGGTGAGTTGATGGTGCAGCAGATGGTGAGTTGATGGTGCAGCAGATGGTGAGTTGATGGTGCAGCAGATGGTGAGTTGATGGAGCAGATGGTGGATGGTGCAGCAGATGGTGAGTTGATGGTGCAGCAGATGGTGAGTTGATGGTGCAGCAGATGGTGAGTTGATGGTGCAGCAGATGGTGAGTTGATGGTGCAGCAGATGGTGAGTTGATGGTGCAGCAGATGGTGAGTTGATGGTGCAGCAGATGGTGAGTTGATGGTGCAGCAGATGGTGAGTTGATGGTGCAGCAGATGGTGAGTTGATGGTGCAGCAGATGGTGAGTTGATGGTGCAGCAGATGGTGAGTTGATGGTGCAGCAGATGGTGAGTTGATGGTGCAGCAGATGGTGAGTTGATGGTGCAGCAGATGGTGAGTTGATGGTGCAGCAGATGGTGAGTTGATGGTGCAGCAGATGGTGAGTTGATGGTGCAGCAGATGGTGAGTTGATGGTGCAGCAGATGGTGAGTTGATGGTGCAGCAGATGGTGAGTTGATGGTGCAGCAGATGGTTTTGTTCTGAGAGCTTCATCCCCATGGCACGGGCTGGTGCTTGCTTGACCATGGTTCGTGGTGTCAGGGATTTGTCCCGTGCACGTGACAAACGCACAACAAACTCTCTCCCCCTCTGTTCCCCTCCCCTTGCTTGCAGGTGACTCTAATGAAGGGAGAGATAGTCTTCGACTCACAACCTGGCTCTGGGTCCACTGTGGCCTTTTCCGTGCCCGTATCCACGCCCTTGATTCAAGAACATTGGACAGAAGGGGAGCAGAAGACCAAGAACGGGTGCAAAGTCCATTGCAGCAGCAGCAGCACCAGCACCAGCAGCAGCAGCACCAGCAGCAGCAAGGAGAGGCGTTGTGGTGCTGTGAGAGCCAAGAGACAGGTTCAGGAGATTCTCCAGGTGGTTTCAGCAGTGCTCATGAGCAGGAGACTGGTTCAGGAGAGTTTTCAGGTGCTGGCAGCAGTATGCAGAATTTCGGATCTGGGCCAAGGGAAGAGTGTGGAGAGAAGGCTCAGCAGCACAGCCAGGAGATTTCTCAGGTGAACCAACAAAACCTGAACCAGCAGCTGCAGCAGCAACAGCAGGTGGAGCGATCACTAGTGTGGATGGGGAGGGTGGGCAGTGAGGGAGAGCGCACAGCAGTAGTCAGAGCAGCACGAGAGAGTGAGAGGGGGAGTGTGAGTGCTGGTTTCCCTCGGTCCGTCTCTGTGAGTGCACTCACTGCCACAGCTGCAGCCAGCACACGTGCAGCAGCAGCAGATGCCCTCACACGGGCATCGCTCACTGGTCTGCGCATCCTGGTGGTGGACGACACGCCCGTCAACCTCATGGTGGCCCGCCGCACGCTTGCTCGCTGGGGCGCTGTTGTAGCAACGGCGAAGAGCGGGGAGGAGGCGGTTGAGATGGTTGTTGCAGGCTTGTGTGGGTTGGAAATGGAAGGGGAGGAGGTTGAGTTGGCGGCAGGAAGGATGCCGGTAATGGGAGGGGAGGAGGCGGTGGGAAGGGCCGCTGCAGGTGGGTGGATAGGGAAGGAAGAAGGGAGAATAGTTGGGGAGGAGAGGTGCTCGGAGGGTGGAGCGATGGGGGGAGCAGGCGTGGGTGAAGAGGGTGGTGAGGTGATGGGGAGAAGGGATGGGAGCGGGACGGGAGGAGATGGGGTGGGAGAAGGCAGGGGAAGAGGGCGCACATCATTGCAGCATGGGTTCGACTTGGTTCTCATGGATCTGCAAATGCCGGGCATGGATGGGTGAGTGGGGGGGAATGGATGGTAGGGGGCATGGATGGTAGGGGACATGGAATGTGGCATGAATGGGTGAGGCATGGATGGGTGAGGCATGGATGGGTGAGGCATGGATGGGTGAGGCATGAATGGGTAAGGCATGGATGGGTGAGGCATGAATGGGTGAGGCATGGATGGGTGAGGCATGCATGGGTGAGGCATGGATGGGTGAGGCGTGGACGGATGAGGCATGGATGGGTGAGGCATGGATGGTGAGGCATGGATGGGTGAGGCATGGATGGGTGAGGCATGAATGAGTGAGGCATGAATGGGTGAGGCATGAATGGGTGAGGCATGGATGGGTGAGGCATGGATGGTTGAGGCTTGGATGGGTGAGGCATGGATGGGTGAGGCATGGATGGGTGAGGCATGGATGGGTGAGGCATGGATGGGTGAGGCATGGATGGGTGAGGCATGCATGGGTGAGGCATGGATGGGTGAGGCATGGATGGGTGAGGCATGGATGGGTGAGGCATGGATGGGTGAGGCATGGATGGGTGAGGCATGGATGGGTGAGGCATGGATGGGTGAGGCATGGATGAGTGAGGCATGAATGAGTGAGGCATGGATGGGTGAGGCATGGATGGGTGAGGCATGGATGGGTGAGGCATGGATGGGTGAGGCATGGATGGGTGAGGCATGCATGGGTGAGGCATGCATGGGTGAGGCATGGACGGGTGAGGCATGCATGGGTGAGGCATGGATGGGTGAGGCATGGATGGGTGAGGCATGGATGGGTGAGGCATGGATGGGTGAGGCATGGATGGGTGAGGCATGGATGGGTGAGGCGTATGGTTGAGGCATGGATGGGTGAGGCATGGACAGTAGCAGATGGTCTGACGTCAGGTAATAATCCGTGGACGCATTCAGATGCGCTGCCTACTGATCTCGTGCTAGGTCATAGAAAACTCCTCTCTCGTTGTGCACTCTCCTCTCTCCTCCTCCCCATCCTCTCCCCACCCCCCCCTGCCCTTCCTTTTCCTGGCAGGTTTGCAGCAGCAGAGGCCATTCGAGCTTGTGAGAGGAAGCTTGTAATGGAGATGGCCCAAAAGGCACACCAGGGGAAGCAGCAGGGGGCCCCTCTTAGCTCACGTGACGCAGGCAGAGGGGGTCCTGCAGCCCCGCCACAAGCAGCACTAAGGCATGGGGACATGGAGGGCGGAGACGACCTGCCCTGGGGAGGGAGGCATGCAAAGCACGAGGTCATATGGGAGCGAGCAGCGGGGGCAGCGGGGGCAGTGGGGGCAGCGGGGGCAGGGGGAGCAACGGGGGCAGGGGGGGCAGTGGGGGCAGAGGGGGCAGCAGGGGCAGGGGGGGAAGCGGGGGCAGGGGGAGCAGCGGGGGCAGCGGGGGCAGGGGGAGCAGCGGGGACAGGGGGAGCAGTGGGGGCAGGGGGGGAGCGGGGGCAGGGGGGCCAGCGGGGGCAGGGGGGCCAGCGGGGCAGGGGGGGCAGGGGGGCAGCGGGGGCAGGGGGGGCAGCGGGAGCAGGGGAGCAGCGGGGGCAGGGGGAGCAGCGGGGGCAGGGGGAGCAGCGGGGCAGCAGCGCCTGGAGAGATTCATAGGAGGGGTGTGAGCTGGGGAGGGGGGAGGCAAGGGGGCATGGGGGGAGGAGAGGGGCGGGGAGAGAGATACTTGCAAGGGGAGATGGGGGTAGGAGGGCGAAAACGGGAAGCTTCCAAGGCTCCTTTTTATGATCTTCACGTCCCTCCCCTAGAATCTTCAAGCCCCGCTGCTGCTGACTGGCAGCAGCCTCTGAGAGAGGAGCTTTTTGAGAAATCTCAAAAGCCTCTGAGAGAGGAGCAGCATACAGGCGGGTGCAGGGACTCTCTACCTCTCTGCGTGCCCATAGTGGCGCTGACTGCAGACGTGGATTCCGGAGTGGCGCAGAGGTGTGCAGAGGGGGGGTTTGACGGTGTGCTGCAGAAGCCAGTGGATGCCCACCTGCTGGCGCGTCGCTGTTGTGGGTGGCGCTGCAGCCGACTGCAACGCAATGAACTGAGAGATGATACTGACACGACTACAGATTCAGCAGTCGCTGCTGCGGGTGGTGTTGCAGCCGACTGACTCAAAGAACTGACAGATTCTATTGACAGGTTGGGTAGGGTTTGATGGTGTGTTAGCAGCTCTCTCACCTGTAAGCGAAGCAGCGTTCCGGGAGTCACTCACTCGGGCGGTCTTCCAGCAACCATCATTCTGCTTTGTCCCTTATTGCTTTTGGACGATTCATACAATTTCTGATGAAATAACGGTTTCTCTTTTATAGTGTATTTATATACATGGGCCAGATTCGCCCACACATGGAATTGGTCAGACTGAAAGGGCCGTGATTGTCCTTCACCAATCGGCAGCTGCCGTACGAAAGCGAACTGATCGTTGGCGTGGCGATTGCGCACCATTGTTCCACTTCCGCGAAGCTCGGCGAAATGCATCGCTCCTGTGTAGTACGCGTAGTAACGCGTGCACATTTTGCCGAGAAAGGCAGAGGAACCATGAGGACTTGAGTGGTCGGAAGCGCGGCAAAGCGAAGTGCACAGCAGCGCGTACACGGCTACTAGACGAAAGCATCGGCTCTGGCCTCGGTATAGTCACGGGATCACCGCGACTAGCGCGAGCTGCTGCGTCACGAGCGTCGCTAACGATTCGGCGAAAGAAACGGCGAAAGAAGCAGCGCTGACTCCAGAAGTAGTAGTAGCAGTTATGCCGGAAGCTCGAACTTCGCGAGCGGTTGGATGCCGTTGGAATGCGAACTCGTCCTTGAAAAAGAAGACAGAGAGTACAGCGGGAGGCCGTGTTGATACTTGGTCGGCCGCGGTGCTGTTTCAGGGTGGGTGATAATAACGAGGGTGGGCCCCACGTTGCGGGGCTTGCTCGCTTTGCTCCGGCGTCGCAAGGCACGGAGTTGGCTTGCTGGCGCGGCAGAGTTGGCTTGTTGGCGCGGAGTTACGCGGAGTTTCGCGGAGTTGCGCGGAGTTGCGCACAGGCCTGCCAGTCACTCGAAACGTGCGCGGAATGAGAGCAACAGGCGCGCAGATCAAGCAGGAAACATCGCGTCCATCCCCCCTACAATCCGCGGTCTTATCGGCCTTCCGCCCACCTCCCCCCTGGCCCATCCCCTCCCTAAATCCCCACACGCCCACACGCGCATTCTTTGTCCCCCTCCTCCCATCCGCCTTCCCCCATCCCCCATTCCCCTTCCCCCATCCCCCATCCCCCATCCGTTCCCCCATCCCCCTTCCCCCGTCCACCTTCCCCAATCTGGCCCCGCCCACCCGCCTTCCCCCATCCGCCGCCTGGCACCCATCTGTGCAACGCGCGCATTCCGTTCTGTCCAGGCAAACCAGCAAGGACGCAGTAAAAGCAGAGGACGAGGAGGATCGATCGTCTGTGCATTTTTAGTCGACTGAAAAATCACCTACGGTAAAAGCAGAGGACGATGAGGATGGATCGCCCTCGGGATCTGTTTCCAGTGGGGTTGAGCACGTTCATGTAGGGTGTAATTTCTTTTTGAGTGAGTGTAGTACGGTGGTGGATCGATCTTGGGCCCTAACACCCTCTTTTCGTTGCAGAGACAGGGCACCTCCTAGAACGAACCCAGGCGCTACAGTCTGACTGCTCTCACTGCCTCTCCCAATGATATCCCCCCCCTCCTCCCCCCCCCCCCCCACCCACCCCACCCCTCGCCCACCACCCCCACAATGTGCTGCATTCCACAGGGCTTAATGCTTCCCCTAACTGACGGTGTCACAGTGCTTAATGCTTCCCCTAAGTGACTGTCGCAGTGCTTAATGCTTCCCCTAAGTGACTGTGTCACAATGCTTAATGCTTCCCCTAAGCGACAGTGTCACAGTGCTTAATACTTCTCCCAAGTGACAGTGTCACAGTGCTGTTGGCGGCATGGCTTGTCTGAGGCGCGGATCCAATCCATTCCAGCACTCGCAGCATGGGGGAATGAGGAGGGGCACTCGCAGCATGGGGGAATGAGGAGGGGCACTCGGAGCAGGGTGTTTTTGAGAATTCTCAAAAACACCCTGCAAAATCAAGGACTTCGTTATCCTCGGTTTGTTACAGCTTGGAAGCTACCTAGGAAAATTTGTAATACATTAGTACGAGCTAAAATAGTGTAGAAGGGAAACTGTGACCAGTTGGTTGCCTCCCAATAATGGGGACGAACCTTCTGGAATGTCCCTCTCTGCATGTTTACTTGCTGAATTTGACAGCTAGAACTGGTAGCTGGCAAAGCGCTCCACTGGAGCCGCGATGTTGAGATTGTGATGGCTCAATTTCTTAGAGCCTACACAAGCAAGGAAGGGAGTAGAAATAGATCGTAGTCAGTATGTTTGACTCCTAGTGCGCTGATGAAGGCCTATTGTTGGCCGAAACGCGTTCGCACGCGACATCCGGGCCTATTGTGTCTGGCGTTCTGACTTGAGAAATCTTTCTCTTACCTTTCTCGCTGTTAGATCTTAGATCTTAGTTCTAGTCTTAGATCTACTCTTAGGAGGCTTGCTGCGGATCGAATCCTATGTTTTCCCATCTGTTGGAGTATGCCGGGGATGTGGAGTACTCGGCAGGGCACACAAACTGAAAGCGCCTCACTTCACACTCGCTCTCTCCCTCCCCCACTCCCCATCCCTCCTCCCAGCCCCCTGGTTCACCGTGCTGGTGGCGGCATGGCCTGTTTGCGGGCTGGTCATAGCAGCGTGGCTGCTCTACTCCAAGCACTCGGAGTATGCAGCGCGGAGGGAGGAAGCGCTGGAAGTGTGGTGCAAGGAGCGCGCGCTCATGCTGCAGCAGCTGGTGCTCACCCATGCGGGGCAGACTCAGGTAGGACCGTAGGACTCAGGTAAGACTCCGGTAGAACTCAGGTGAGACTCAGGTGGGACTCAGATGGGACTCAGTTGGGACTCAGGTGAGACTCAGGTGGGACTCAGGTGGGACTCAGGTGAGACTCAGGTGGGACTCAGGTGGGACTCAGGTGAGACTCAGGTGGGACTCAGTCAGACTCGTTCTCAGCTCAGGCCAAGTTGGGGACAAGTCTCATGAAGCATGAAGCATCCGTTCTTGCTTCATCATCACTGCCTTCTTCTGGTTCCTCGCTCCTCCCCCATCCACACAAGGCCCTACGGCTCGGCCCTAACCGTCATTGTGCCCTTATGTTGCTCTCCCTGACCAATTTCCTCGCACCCACAGACATGTGCTGGCATCATCTGCGTGTGAGTCGACTCAAAAGCACCCACAGACATGTGCTGGCATCATCTGCGTGTGCTTGGACGCGTGCTTTGAGTTTTTTTTTTAAGAAATGAACCTACATTGCCCTCCCCCTCCCCCAACCACAGACACTCGCTGGCATCATTTCAGTGAAGGGCAAGCCGGGCCAGAAGGGCAAGTGGGAGCTGGACGCATGCTTAAACGGCAGCATGTGGCGGCAGTACCTCACTCTCACGGCGTATGCGCGGCCGGGAAACACTGGGGCAGTCTCGTGTGTGTTTGTGAAAGACGAAGAGAGGTGAGGGAGGGTGGATGGAGGTAAAGGGGAGGACAGGGGTGGGAACTGGGGGGGGTGCGTAGGGAGTATGGATGCGTGTTTGAACGGCAGCAGGTGGGGGGAGCTTTTGAGTCGGCTTTTGAGTCGACTTATGAGTCGACTCAAAAGTGGGAATTGGGGGCATGGAGGGAGTATGGATGCGTGTTTAAACGGGAGTAGGCGGGGGGAGTGAGTGCCTCACTCTCGCAGCATATGCTCGGCCGGGTAACGCTGGGGCGACCTCTTGCGTGTTTGTGAAGGATGGAGAGAGGTTAGAGGAGGGTGTAATTTCAACAGGTGTGTGTATGCTGATATGGCATGTTTATTATTTGTGATGCTTTCCCGCCTTGCCTGTTATTGAGGCGCCTCAAAAGTGGCACGTCTATTATTTGTGATCATCACCAAAATCCCAGGTCCCACAATCCGTCCCACAAGCCTACATGGGCGGAAACAGTCCTAAAACGGTCCACTCGCGGTCCAAAGGCCATCCCCAAACGCGGTCAGTCTACCTCCCGCCCAAAAACCGCCCACACACTGTCTACAGCTGAGACTGCATTTGGACTGGCCCCGGATCTTGATTGAAGGCCAGGCCAACCGGATATCCTCAACATGAAACAAACTACACGAACACATAAATGCAAGGCAACATAAAACTCTTTGACAAACGAGGTTGCAGAAGCTACTGTCAAACAGCAGTACACCGCCCTACTAAATACTTTAACACCATCTGAAAGCAGTTTAGGGAATTTCATGCTCAAAACAGAAACTTGTTCACAAGGTAGACACGTGCGTCAATGACACTCCTCACGACATGGGCATTGCGAGGGGTTGGGAAGGGTTTGAGGGTGCGAGAGCAGGTGTGAGTGCGAGGGTGGGACACCAGCGATCCATATCTGTGTGCCCCTCTAACATCGCCGCTGCAGTCTCGCATGGAGTAGAAGCAGCAGCAGCCGACGCTGTGACGCGTGCGTGCCTCACTGGCCTGCGCATCCTGGTGGTGGATGTCACACCCGTCAACCTCATGGTGGCCCGCTGCACCCTCACCCGCTGGGGTGCGGTTGTAGCAACGTCGAAGAGCAGGGAGGAAGCTGTTGAGATGGTTACTGCAGGCTTGGAGGAGAGTGGAGGGGGGGCCACAGTATTGATGGCGAGGAGCGGGGAGGAGGTGGTGGAGTGGAGGTGGCTGGTGCACGAATGAAGGAGAGAGGAGGGGGGGCTGCATTATTGATGGCGAGGAGCGGGGAGGAGGCGGTGGAGGTGTCTGGTGCAGGGCTGCATGCAAGAGGGGAGGAAACGGTGAGGATGTCTGGTGCACGAATGGAGGAGAGAGGAGGGGTTGGGGGCACATCATGGCGGCACGGATTTGACTTGGATCTCATGGATCTTCAAATGCCCGGCATGGATGGGTGAGTGGTGGATGCAAATCTAATGCATAAGGTATTCTAAGGTGCCTTCACCTCATCATGTGCCGCGTCATTGAGAACCCTTCCCCTGTTTGCGATCATTTCTCTCTCCCCCAACCCCTTCTCACCCTCCCCCCCCACCCCTTTCCCCTCCTCTTTCCCACAGGTTTGCAGCAGCAGATGCCATTCGAGCTCATGAGAGGAAGCAAGTATTGGAGATGGCCTTTAAGGCACGGCAGGTAAGACAGCAGCAGCTAGTAGCGGCAGTATTGGAGTGTGCATTGGAGGGTCCTCAGAATCAGCTGGGTTTGGAGCCCCTAAGGGCCAAGAGGCACACCAGGGAGAGGAGCAGGGGACCTCTCAGGAGCCTCAGGGGCAAAGAGACGAGGGGGGGGGCCTCTTTAACTCGCATGGAGCAGTCAGAGGAGGGGAGGGGGGAAGCCTCCTTAACTCTCGTGGAGCAGACAGATTGGGGGCTGCTGCAGCGACTCAAAGAGCGGTAAGGCATGCAGAACTGGAGAGCGGAGACGACCTGGACTGGGCAAGGAGACATGCAACGCACGAGGTTGCATGGGAGGGAGCAGTGGGGGCAGGGGGGGCAGTAGCGCCAGGGGAGATGCACAGGCGGGGTGTGAGCTGGGGAGGGGGGGCCAAGGGGACATGGGGGGACGAGAGGGGAGGGGGAGAGATTCTTACCAGGGGAGATGGGGGGAAGACGGCGAAACGAGGGAGCGTCCAGGGCTGCTTGTTCTGGTCTGCTTGTCCCTACCCTAGAACCTTCATACCCCGCTGCTGCTGCTGTGGACTGGTAACAGCCTCTAAGGATTGAGGAGCCGGTGGCACCTGCTTCTGTTGACTGGCAGGCACCTGCTGCTGCTGCTGCTGACTGGCAGGCACCTGCTGCTGCTGCTGACTGGCCAGCACCTCCCCGGGTGCCCATAGTGGCGCTGACAGCAGATGTGGATTGTGGAGTGGTGCAGAGGTTTGCAGAGGGGGGGTTTGACGGGGTGCTGCAGAAGTGGACGCCCACCTGCTGGCGGCTCACCTCAGCCAAGCGCAGCTCCAGCATTCCCTGCTGCGGGTGGTGGATTGTCACCAGGGCTTCAGATTGGATTTTGAGGGGCTGTTGGCTCAGGGTGCCCCTAGCAAAAGCCCCTGTTTTTCAGGGTCGGGTTTTGGAAGTTGCAATTTTTTTCAGGGTATTTTTTTTCGAAGGCTGAATGTTCAGGACTGAAAAAATTCAGAGTTGAGATGATAGGGTTGAATCTTGGAGATTTTTTAGGGTAAGTAGGATTTTCACCTAGCACACTATGTTAGACAGTGCATGTTTTGTCAGGCCCAAAAAATACTAAGCCCCACTCATCAACTACAATTCTTAGGTTTCTGATCCTTCGATTGGATCGGAGTTCACTGCGTACAAATTGTCACTACCAGCGTGATATTGTCGAAGGACCAGTCACGCCCCTCCCTTTTGCTCCAACTCGCGTCAGACTGCCTGCGTGATGGACCAATCATGCCCCTCACATCTGAACCAGCTCGCATTACCTGCGTCATTTCGTGTTATGGATGAACAAGCAGAGTAGCGCAGGAATGAATAACGAAGTGTTCAATCACTGAATGGCGATACAAGGAATGGCATGTCAACTTATACATGTGTTGACATGTAGAAGTTATAGGCTAGTGTAGATGTGTGTTCCTAGTGACTACAACCCCAACTGCTATATGTGCTGTAATCTCCACCTAATAATTTGTTCTTGCATTCTAACATGGTATCACGAGTAGGTTAGGTCCACCCGCCCGCTTCCGCCCGCGCCCTAGCCTAACCCCCCCCCCCTCTACCTAGCCCTAGCACCCGCCCGGCCCCTAGCGCCCGCCCGGCCCGTAGCGCCCGCTCGGCCCGTAGCGCCTGCCCGGCCCTTAAGCGCCCGCCTGCCCCGTCGCGCCCGCCTGGCCCCGTCGCGCCCGCCATGCCCCGTCGCGCCCCCTAGGCCCCGTCGCGCCCGCTAGCCCCCGTCACGCCCGCTAGGCCCCGGCTCAGTCACGCACGCCAGCCCAGCCCCTGCCGCGCCCTCTCACGGCCGCCCGGCCCTTGTCGCGCCCGCCCGGCCCTTAGCGCCCACCCGGCCTCCTCCTAGCGCCGCCCGACCCCTCCTAGCGCCAGCCCGACCTCAGCAGCGCCCGCCCAACCTCCTCCTAGCGCCGCCCGGCCTCCTCCTAGCACCGCCCTGCCCCTCCTAGCGCTAGCCCGGCCCCAACAGCGCCCGCCCAGCCTCCTCCTAGTACCGCCCGGCCTCCTCCTAGCACCGCCCGGCCCCTCCTAGCGCCACCCCAGCCCCAGCAGTGCCCGCCCGGCCTCCTCCTTTCTGCATGGCGCTCTATTTTATCGCCATGCGCCTGCCGGACCGCCTCGCTAGTGCTCGCGACCGCTTCCTTAGCCAGCACCCGGGTGACCTCACCCTGACCGCCTTTGTCGACACCCTCACCGAGATCGAGACTCGAAAGCGCACTATCGCTCTGTCGAGCGGTGCGCATGCAGTCTCTATCTTTCACGGCTGTGCCCCCTCCCAGTGCACTTTTATTGACGTTTCGGCTGCGGTCGCCACTTCGACCCCTCTAACCGAAACGGCTGCTACGGTACACCCGCAGCAGCGCCCGCGCCGCACTGGCCGTGGCCGCCAGGGTGGTCGTGGTGGTGGAGCTGGTGTTAGTGGTAGTGGTGGTGGTGACGGAAGTCCGCCTGAGGGGACTACCACCGATGGGCAGGAGCAGACGCAGTCGCCTCCGCAGCAGGAGCAGCCCCAGAAGCAGCCGCCGTCACAGCAGCAGCCGCCGCAGCCGTGGGCTCGTCTCCCGCCTGGTTGGCCCGGTACCTCCGGAGGTGGTGGCCGTGGTGGCGGCCCGCGTAGCTTGGCGTCTACCGGCAGCTCCGTTGGTGTGACCTACCAGTACCAGCTTCAGACTGGGCCTCTCCACGGCACTTTGTGTCGCCGCTCGCACCCGACAACCCGCTGTTTTTGCCACCTCGACGATCTCTTTCCTCGTCGCTTTGGCCCGGCCCCGGACCTCCCCGACTGGCACAGCCTGCTTCGCCAGGGCGTGCCGATCTTTGAGTTAGACATGGATCAGATAGGTGCTGCTTTGCATGCCTTGTACTCTGACGCTTCTAGTGTTGCTGGATCTTATTACCCTGTGTACTCCAGTTTAGGTGTTGCACTCTTGTGTAGCTTAGCCTCCCCTGCTGCGTCAGGCGTAGGACTGCCTAGTTTGCCTAGCCTAGTTTCTGCACTGGCTTCGTTCCCGGCCTCCGCTACTGCCTCGCTGTCCTTCACTCTCGACTCCGGTGCTTCTGCCTGCTTCTTCCGCGACCGCTCCACACTCACGCCGCTTGCAGCGCCACCTGTTGTCACTCTCGCTGACCCCTCTGCGGGTCCAGTCATCCCTCGCACTTCCACTTCCCTTCCCTGTCCAGCCGTTCCCTTGGGCACTCTTACAGGCCTCCACGTTCCCTCGTTCTTCAGGAACCTGGTTGGTGTCGGCCGTCTTCAGGACCTCGGCGTCACCACTACGTTCCCTGGGCACGAGCGGTTCGCTGTCTGTACCGAGGCAGTCTCAAGTTCCCCCCTTGCGACGTTGCCCCGGGACCCGGTGTCCGGTCTGTTTACCCTCGACACCGCTTCCCCCCCGGTTGGTGCGTCCTCCCACGTCGCTGCAGCTTGCTCGTGTCGGTCCCTCACTCACCCGTCCCTTCTGTGGCACCACCGCCTGGGTCACCCTGCTCTCCCGCGTCTGCGTCACATGTCTCAGCACGGTCTTGTCTTAGGCCTTCCTGCGTCGCTCCCTGCCCTTCCCCCCTCGACTACGCCACCGTGCACGCCTTGAGTCGAGGGCCGGCTCCGCCGTGCTCCTCACTCCTCCTCGCTTTGCCCAGCTACTGCCCCCCTTCAGACCCTGCACCTGGACGTTTGGGGCCCGGCCCCCGTCCCCAAACCGCGCGGTGAGCGCTACTTTCTTGTGCTTGTCGACGACTACACGCGCTACACCACAGTGTTTCCCCTGGGTTGTGGCCGCGCGTCTCCACCGCGGTCTCCCCGTGCTATGTCTCCACTCCGACCGTGGCGGCGAGTTCGCCTCTGGTCGGCTTGGACAGTTGTGTCATGCGGAGGGCATCACCTTGTCGTACACCTTGCCGGACTCGCCACAACAAAATGGGGTTGCTGAGCGCCGCATCGGCTTGGTCAAAGAGGTGGCTCGTACCTCCATGCTCCATGCCGATGCCCCTCATTTTCTGTGGTCGTTCGCTGTTCGCTACGCTGCTCACCAGCTTAACTTGTGGCCCCGCTCCCAGCGGCCGCAGGTTCCGCCGACCCTCCTTTGGACCGGGTCCCCCGGTAACGCATCAGCGTTCCACGTCTTGGGTTGCCTTGCTCACGTTCATGCCTCTTGCACAGACAGGCTCACTGCCCGCACTGTCCCGTGCGTCTTCCTTCGTTTCCCCCTGGACTCGTCTGACTGGCTCTTCTACCACCCGCCGTCTCACCGCTTCCTCCACTCTCGTGACGTCACCTTTGACAAGTCTGTCTCCTTCTACCGTCGCTTCCCTCACCGAGGTCTCCCGGTTTCCCCACCCCTGTTCCTTGCTCCCTCTCCCCCGGTAGCCCCTGCTCCCCTCCCGCCTCGTCCAGCCCCGTCTGGCGTCTCTCACGTTACTCCCCTCCCGTCGGTTGTCCCCGTTAAGGAGTCTTCTGACTCTGGTTGTCCCCCTGGCTTGCCCTTGTCGCGTCCCCCTTCCCCGGTGTCTCCACCTCCGCTGTCGCAGTCGTCGCCGCCGTTGTCGCTGTTGCAGCCGTTGCCACCGCCGCCGTTGCAGCTGCTGCCGCCGCCGCCGCCGCCGTCGCAGCTGCTGCCGCCGCCGCCGCCGCAGTCGCAGCCACTACCGCCGCCACCGCCGCCGTCGCCGCCGCTGCCGCTCTTGGCCTCTGGGGGTGCTGGCGTCGAGGAGGGTGCTCGTCCTGCGGCTTCTGGCGTCGTCTGTCCCGGCGGGCCTGGGGGTGCCGCTGGTGCTGGAGGGAGTTCTCGCTCTGGGGGTGTTGGTTCTGGGGGTGCTGCCGTTGAGTGTTCCCCCGGCGGTCATCGTGCCTCTGCCGGTCCGGGGGTCGGGCCCCAGCCGTCGTTGCAGCCGTTGCAGCCGTTGCAGCCGACCGCCGGTCCGGCCCCTCCCTAGGGCCGGTCAGGCCCCCGTAGCGCCCGCTCGGCCCCTCCTAGCGCCCGCCCGGCCCCAGTAGCGCCCTCCCGGCCCCTCCTCGCGCCAGCCCGGCCCCAGCACGGCCCGCCCGGCCTCTTCCTAGCGCCGCCTGGCCTTTCGCGCCCGCCAGGCTCCCAGCGCCCGCCCGGCCCCTCCTAGCGCCCGGCCGGCCCCAGTCGCGCCTGGCCGGCTGCCCAGCGCCTGCCTGGCCCCTCCTAGCGCCCGCCTGGCCTCTTAGCGCCCGCCGGGCCCCTCCTAGCGCCCACCCGGCCTTTAGCGCCCGCCCGACCTCTCGCGCCTTCCCAACCCCTCCTAGCACCCGCCCGACCGGCCCCAGTGCGCCCGCTCGGCCTGCGGCGCGCCTGCTCGGTCTCCTAGCGCCCGCCCGGCCCCTCGTTGCGCCCGCCCGGCCTTCGGCGCCCGCCCGGCCTCTCGCTCCAACCCGGCCCCGTCGCGCCTGCCCGGCTCCCAACGCCAGCTCGACCCCTCCTACTGCCCGCCCGGCCCCTCCTCGTGCGTGCTCGGCCTGTCGCGCCACCTCGGGCCCTGTGTCTTCTGCTCACCCGCGCTGGAGCGCCTCGCAGCCGCCCTACTAGAGAGTGCTGCCGCAGTGTCCCCGTGCCGCTGTACTCCTGCGGAGCTGTGGAGCTGTGCCGCTGTGCCCCTGTGTCGCTGCGTAGCTTTGTCGCTGACCCTGCACGATGGCTGACTTCGTGCTCCGTCTGGACGCTGAGGGCCACGCGGTTGACTTCGCCGCCTGGCTCTCCGATCTCCGCCGTCAGCTTACAAGTCAGTGGCAGGATGGGCACTCTTTGGTTGTCCGTGCTGATGGCTTGCTTCCCCGCCCCCCTGCACCTGCTCCCCTCCCTGCTGATCCCACCTCTGCTGAGAGTGAGGCTTTTTCTACTGCTGCGCTTGCCTGTGCGGCCTGGGACTCTCGCGATGCAGTAGGTCAGGTTGCCATCAGTCATGCCCTCCCTGTGTCTGAGCGCTCGCGCTTCGCTACGGTTGATATGGCCAAAGCTTATTTAGACGCTGTTGTTGCTCGCTACTCCACGCTGCATCCGCTTCTGCAGGCCGCTTGCTCTTCCCGATGCTGTTCCCAGACCTTGCTGCCTTCCCTAGTGTTGCAGACTTTGCCAATCACTTGCGTGCTCTAGAGTCTCGCTATCGCACTGCCAGCACTGCTGCCAGCTCACTGCGCTCCCCCCTCCATTCTGCATGACGCTCTATTTTATTGCCATGCGCCTGCCGGACGCCTCGCTAGTGCTCGCGACCGTTTCCTTAGCCAGCACCCGGGTGACCTCACCCTCACCGCCTTTGTCGACACCCTCACCGAGATCGAGACTCGCCAGCGCACTATCGCTCAGTCGAGCGGTGCGCCGGCAGTCTCTATCTTTCACGGCTGTGCCCCCTCGTAGTGCACGTTTACTGACGTTTCGGCTGCAGTCGCCACTGCGACCCCTCTTACCGAGACGGCTGCTGCTGTCCACCCGCAGCAGGGCCCGCGCCGCACTGGCCGTGGCCGCCAGGGCGGTCGTGGTAGTGGAGCTGGTGGTAGTGGTAGTGGCGGTGGTAACGGTAGTCCGTCTGAGGGGACTATCACCGGTGGGCAGGAGCAGACGCAGTCGCCTCCACAGCAGGAGCAGCCCCAGCAGCAGCCGCCGCCACAGCAGCAGCCGCCGCAGCCGTGGGCTCGTCTCCCGCCTGGTTGGCGTCAAACTGCTGCGTGATTTTGTCGAAGGACCAATCATGCTCCTCACATCTACTCCAGCTTGCGTCTCCTGCGTCATTTTGGTGGACAAGTCACGCCCCTCACAGCTGCTCCAGTTCGCGTCAACTAGCCAGATAGGATTCTGTTTCAGGCTGGAAGTCCGTTAAGGCTGATAATTCAGGGTGACCAAAACAAAAACATACAATATTTCAGGCCTGCTCAAATGAGGACCCCTAAAATTTAGGCCTAGGAAAAATCAAAAGCAAAAAACAGGACAAACCTTAAAAAACACCCGGATATACAGCATTTCTGGGCATTTTTTATGACTTATGGAGCCCTGTTTGTCAAACAGAATGTCGGTTTCACTGACGGGGGTTTCCCTAGCACTTTCCCTAGGTTTCAGGGACAGGTTGCTATGACGGATTTTGATGAGAGGTTTAAATGAAAGAAATACGCCCCCCCTTTTTTGTGCAAAATTGAGTGGTTTTTATAGCATTAGAAGCCGAGATCTTGGTAATCTCATTAATTTCATCAATAGGGATTTTCTTCATATTCCGTGCTACTTCTTGCTGTACAATAACCGTTGCTTCATTTGGTGGGAGATTGGTGCCCTGCAGACTTGTGAAATCCATTGTTCTCCCAATTGAGCGTGGGTGGTTTCACCAACTGTAGTTGGGTTGGGTTGGTCAGCTCACAACGAGAAAGTTGATCCTGTCCTTTTGCCAGCTTGGCAAGTCACGCGTTTCTTGTCATTTTGACATGCAAGCTGCAAAGTCAGACAGACTTACGGGCGGCAAACCTGTCGAAACACATGCTTCTACACCTCGTCTAGGCTAAATCTTGCAAAGCAAATGTCGCTGATTTTCGGACAACTCCCAAACATATGCTTCTACACCTCGTCTACGCTAAATCTTGCAAAGCAAATGTCATAACAAGGCACGGTTGCGGGGCCTTGGGTATTGTTATGGGTGAAAACCCAGGAATAGCGCGAAAGTGAACATCGAGATTTGAAATGACAGAATTATCAAATTTATTTGAGTTATCAGAGTATCGGTAGAATGAATGACGAGGCTTAGTATAGGAACGCCATAGCGAATCTTAACCGCGTGATGCATAGGTTCTTAGAAGGCATCTTAGGATACGGAGCGCTCCGAAATGACGCAAAATGGTTTGGTGTAGCACGTACGGTGACGGAACTAGGGCCTAGTCTAGTGCCGTGTTTGTTCGGTATGAGTGCTAATAGTGCGTCTCACTAAGGAATTACTCATTCCTTATAGATACCAAGCCATCAAGGTGTACTATAAAAAGTGCTGAAATCATATATGTGCCATAAAAATATTGGAAGTTACAGTGCTATTGAGAAATTGGACAATGCACCTTTTTTTCTCATGCTTGGCACATTTAGCAGTGTGTGTTTACAGATCTGCAAGGACGTCACGGGTACTCTAGATGTAGGCATATTGGGTGTAGGGGGCATCTTTTCTGTACATGTCCACCGTTGGCAGTAAACTTCACCGTTGGCGGCGAACCGTTCGTTGGAAGTTGCCCACCAGACCACCAGACTGAGCAAACTGCACTTTCGTCCTCAGAGTATGGCGGGAAAGACAAAAGTGAATTCAGGAGAGGAATTTTCTCGAGGGCGTATTGCCCTAAGCAGAGTCTCGGCTTCTATTTGAAAAACGGTTCGTACCAAGACTGAAACGATTTTTGTGATCACCCTGATTGGGAGGGGTTTGACGCGAGGTTTGGTGGTACGTTCCGTTTTCATGCTCATTCCATGCGGATATGACTGGTCTGGTGGGGTTTCGTGTCGTCGAGATGTCAACACGAATTTGAACCGCCGAACTCATGATGTACCAAATAGGTCTGGATTGCGGTGTAGGGTAGGCGAGAGCTTTTCCTGATTATTCCACGCGTGGCGAGTGTCAGTGGGGGTTAGGGCTGTTTTAGGGGGCCTAGTTATCTTCTGACGTTGCCAGAAACCGGCCAGAAGGCATAGAGGTTGCGTTCTCAGTTTGTTGCCAGATTCGAGTGCAAATCCCATGACAGTACGCTCACACCAAATCTCACTTCCGCGAAGCCTTCGCGAAGTGCATCCTGATTAGTAGGTTCCGCATTTAGCCTAGAATGGCAGACGAACTGTCAGAGCTTGAAGGGTCGGAAGCGTAAAAGGCACAGTAACGCGTACAACGACTCTGGCCTCGGTATTGTCACAGCGTCACCGCTTTTAGCCCGAGCTGCGGCGTCATGCGCGTCGCCGACAATTCGGCGGAAGAAGCTTCGGCAGCTTCCGCCGTAGCAGCTGCCATGGCGGAATCTAGAAGCGGTTGGAAGGAGAACCTTTCCTGGACGAAGGGAGAGGGTACTACTTCTTCAGCGAGATTCCGTGACACTTGCTCGGCCGCGGTGCTGTTTCAGGGTGAGTGATAATAACAAGGGGGCTTTGCTCGTTCTGCTCCGACCATCCCAAAATTCCAGGATCAGAAATACGGAGTAGGTATACAGTAGGTATGGCATAGGTACGTCTGCTACGGAGTAGCCTTGCTATACGAACAACTATACCTACAATATAGGAGAGGTCCACATTTTTGTGATGACGTCAGCGAAGAGCACGAAACACGAAACACGCGCGGAATGAGACGACACCGGCGCATGGGGAAAGGCGTCCGGAGTATTTGGATCACTAACTGAAAGCGTCCCACTTCACACTCGCCCTCTCCCCCGCTTCTCCTCCCGCCCCCAGCCCCCTGGTTCACCGTGCTGGTGGCAGCATGGCTGGGCTGCGGGCTGGTCATAGCGGCGTGGCTGCTCTACTCCAAGCACTCGGAGTACGTGGCGCGGAGGGAGGAAGCCCTGGGCGTGTGGTGCAAGGAGCGCGCGCTCATGCTGCAGCAGCTGGTGCTCACCCACGCGGGGCAGACTCAGGTAAGCGTCAGTCAGACATAGTCAGAGTCACTCGAATTCAGGTCCGTGTGAATCTGAGTGAACACCAGGTAAACGACTTGAACCTGAATCATGTAACGATCACCAGGTGGTCCCGATGTCAGTCATGCATGTCCCGCCTGCCTGCTTTATTGCTTGTCAATGCTGTTATCCATGCTTGTCCTACATATCACCCATTCTGTTGCCTTTCCTCCCGCCCTGCAGACTCTGCCCGGAATCATCTCAGTGATGGGCCAGCCTGGGCGGACGGGCAAGTGGGAGTTGGGCGTGTGTTTGAACGGCAGCACGTGGAAGGAGTACCTCACTCCTCTGTTCTCCTGTCCTTCCACCCCCGCAGACTCTCGCGGGCATTATCTCAGTGATGGGAAAGCCTGGCCGCAAGGGCAAGTGGGAGCTGGACACGTGTTTGAACGGCAGCACTTGGAAGGACTACCTCACTCACACGGCACCGACACGGCCGGGAAACACCGGGGCTGTGTCGTGTGTGTTTGTGACAGATGAAGAGAGGTGAGGTGGAGGAAGAGGTGAGGGGTTGAAGAGGTGAGGTGGGGGAAGAGGTGAGGGGTTGAAGAGGTGAGGATGGAGAGGGAGGGAGATGCACGCAGAGAAGGGATCTGGACGCGTGTTTGAACGGCAGCACGTGGAGGGACTACCTTGCTCGCACAGCACCAACACGGCCCAGCAACACGGGCGCGGTCTCGTGTGTATTTGTGAACCACAACGAGAGTTGAGGGGGGAGTGAGGGGTGGAAGGCGGGGGCAGAGCGAGTCTGGACACGAGTTTGAATGGCAGCATGGGGTGGGAGTTGTACCTCACTCGCACGACGTATGCATGCCTGGCGTGTTTGTGAAGGACGAAGAGAGGTGAGGGGGGCATGGAGGTGAGGGGGGCATGCAGGTGAGGGGGGAATGGAGGTGAGATGTGCACAGAATTTGCTCGTCTTGCCCTTCCGAACTTGTTCAAGCGTTTCCCAGCGACAACTTCCTTGCCTTTGACCCTCCAGCAGACCTGACCCACCCACCTTTATTCCTTGCACGTGTTTCCAGGCCGGCCTTTGAGAAACTGTACGGCAGCATAAGGGACAACACTCGAAATGTCAGCGGCCCGCACCCCATCTACTGCCCCAAGATCCTCGAGTTCACGACCCTGCTTCCGTATAATGGCACGGGCAATGTAGACATCATGGCGCGGTTCTTTTCCGAAGTTCCCCTGGCCGAGGAGGGTAAACACTTCTACACGTGGCCGTATCCCCTAGCGAACCAATTGGATCACGCAGGATTCGGTGAGTCAAAGGTTGTATTGTTTGTTTGTCGCTCAGGTAGAATTCGAGGGTGTGCGGGATTTTCCAATCCCGCACAACTTGTCACAACTTGTTTGAGATGCCACAACTTGTCTTTTCCACTCGATAGGTTGATATGGGCGTTGCTTATCTCGGCTCCACTTTCAAAAACAATCCTTGGATGGCTGATTTGCCTGGCTTGAGGACGAACGACTGAAGTGCGTTAATGGCTGATTTGCCTGGCTTGAGTACGAACGACTGAAGTGCGTTAATGGCTGATTTGCCTGGCTTGAGTACGAACGACTGAAGTGCGTTAATGTGGAGCTATTATGAAGGATGGGTTGCATGCGTGCATCCTGCTTTCGGTATTCTCCCTGCCTCAGGCGTGGCCTTTCCTCTTCGCCGCAGCCTGCCCGCGAACCACTCTATTGATCCAGCAGCGCCCACGGTGTATGGGACGCTGGGCGCCTCTGTGGATGTGACATCCATTGCAAAGAAGGTCCTAGAGGAGCTCTATGTACCCGGTGAGTGGCATTTTACCATTGAGGAGTGCTGAGATGTTTCAAATCGCAACGAAGGTTCTAGAAGAGATGTATGTATGCACCTGGTGAGTGGCATCGTACCACTGAGAAGCACCTGGGCAAATGTGTATGTGTTTGCCTTGTCTGAGCAAATGTGTGAGGAAATGGATCAGCCTTTTTTGGCTTGTCGGCTACAACTTTGTGCAAATGTATATCTCGCGTGATATTATGTACCCTAAAACAGAGATCCAGAGGCCTCGTACGGTTGCACCCTAGAGAGGACAGGCTCAATCCTCCCATAGACTCATGTTTTTCTGGGTAATTGCCCCAACTTATCATCACTCCTTGGCACCATCCTCCGATGCGAACATTGTCTGTTGCAAACAACCCTTGTGAAAGTGTCTAGATTCACCACTCCTCCTCCCCTCTCCCTCCGCCTCCCCTCCTCCCTCTCTCCGTTTTTCCCTGACCCTCCCCTCGCCAGACCTGTCGAAATCCTTTGAGCTCTACGACGTTACGGACCCTTCTTCCCCCTTCGCCATCGTCTCACCAGTCCCGCCGCACGCCTATTTCCTCCCCAACGACTCTCTCCCTCACATGCGACCCTCGCATGCCCCTGAAACCCGCCCCTGGGAGACCCGGGCGGTGGTGCGTTTGGATGAGCTGGGGGGCGGTGTGCGCCAGTACGAAGTGTGGTGCCGGTGAGAACCTCATCAAATTAATCTCAAGTTCATTTCATATCCACTTGGGCTATGGTGCATTTCGACGAGTTATGATGCGTTTTGGTGAGTTACGGTGTGTTTCGATGCGTTATGGTGCATTCCGATGAGTTATGGTGCGTTTCAATGTCCGCCAGCACGAGGTTCGGCGCTCGTGCTATCACAGATAGAGTGAGATGCGTGTTTGTGTCGAAAGTGGTGGCGCACAGAGAGCGTGGGTGGATGGTGCGACTTGATGGACAAATGTTGAAATGCATAGAAGCGTCGTTCTTCAAAGTACGCAGGTTTTGAGAAAGCATCTTTTGCATTTTTATACCTATGCACTCCGGCTCTGACATGCACCATCACAAACGCTCCAGTGTCCCCTTTCTTGACAACCCTCTCCCCAGCTACATATTGCCTGCGAGCACGTGGCTCTCGTGGGGCGTCCCCATCTTCAGCGCCCTCCTCGCCCTCCTCCTTGTGCTGCTCGTGCTGGTGGCTGCACGGCTACAGCGGGCCAAGTTCTTTCAGACGCAGGAGCAGGTGGCGGAGGCAGACAGGCTCCGGAGGAAGGCGGAGGATGCAGAGGCGTCTAAGAGCATGTTTGTGGCATCGATGTCGCATGAGCTCAGGACGCCAATGGTTGGGATTATTGGTAGGGCTGCATTTTTGTTCCATTCATGGCGGCCTTATCCATATGGAAATTTGTTTAAGGATTTGTTTCACATGCTCACATTTCCAAGTTTGTCTAAATTAACTGTCGAAGCTAAACATACCTCATGCATCAACATTATTCCTCGATCCACCTGCCGCTCCCACCAGGCATGCTCGATGCTCTGGCGGAGATGGCCCTCCACCCCCTTGAGCTCTCAGACGTACAAATGGCACGGGCCTCCGCAACGGATGCACTGCACCTGGTCAACCGAGTGCTCGACCTGGCGAAGCTGCAGGCAGGCAAGGCCGTGGTGGACGAGACGGTCGTTGATGTGCGCGCATGGCTCAATACGGCGTTGGAGTGGCACGCAGAGGATGCACATGCCAAGAACATTGAGTGTGAGTGGATGAGATGGTACTCGTTGGGCGCACCCGACTCGACATGGACTTGGAAAGGGGCAGTAAGGTGTTTATTGTGAGTGAATGACCTGGTCATCCTGCGGATTGTGGCAGCAATGCTACTCTTTTGCGTCCCGATTCGGTTGATGCCGCGACGGGACGCAACCGAATCCGCAGGAACACATGGATGGTTGGTTTTTGTGGTCCGGTTGTTGCTCTTGTTCCATGACTCGCCATATGTTCTTGGGGGTGCACGAAGCGTAGCCTAGTCTTAACCAGGTTGAGGCCTGAGACTGTTGACGCTTTCAGCTTGGAACTTGACATAGGGGCGTTAAGTCATGATCCGATGCATGGTAGGTTTGTGCTGCAGGTCGGCCGACCTTTCGCAAGTGCCAACTATGGGAATCAACGGTTCCTCTGGTACGAAGCTGAATTGCTACTGCGAAATTGGGGCATTCTAACTTATGATGGTCCAGACTCAGCTCGCATTTTCTATTGGGGGGGGGGTGTGATCTATCCAACACTTCAAGAATTCACCTTCCCAATCATAGGAGGAGCTGACATGCATATATGGCTTTAACACCTGTAGTGCCAGGCTGGAAACTGCGCACTTGACGCGCTCGATTGCTGACGATATTTTCCATGAACAAGGCTGAACTCATGCAAGGCATGCAATACATGCAAGGCATGCAATACATGCAAGGCATGCAATACATGCAAGGCATGCAATACATGCAAGACATGCAATACATGCAAGACATGCAATACGTGCAAGACATGCAATACATGCAAGGCATGCAATACATGCAAGGCATGCAATACACGCAAGGCATGCAATACATGCAAGACATGCTTGAGCAGAGGTCCGAGCTATGGCTCGGATCGTCTGCTCGGCTCGTGCACACCGATCCCTGGTATAGATGGGTCAGCTCAAAAGGAGCCGCTCGCCCGGACCGTCCCGTCGCGGCGCTGCACGGCAACGAGTCGGGCCTGGCTCGCCAGGTCGTTGACAGCCCTGTCGCGGATCTAGCAATCAGGCAAAATGACAGACTGGAGCAGATTGGCTCGGACCCGCGCGCAAAATGCCTGTTGGGACGAATCTGGGGATCGAAATTCCTGATCCGCCTGGTTCTGGCAGGAGAAATGCCCGCCAGCGTGGATCCGGTTTAAAGCACCCCCCTAGGCTCGTGGCGAGCTGGCTTGTCTTGGACCCGTGCTCAGGCCTAAGGGCGTGTCCTGCGCGTACGTTTACAATTCACTTTACACGGTATTATCTGGTTGTCAGCAGTCAAACTACCGCTCCCAATCGCAATGTATCCTACTGAACCGTGATCTGTGTCTCATAAACGTATGCGCTGGACACGCCCTAAAACTTATTTTGGTGAAAAATGAGATAGTGCGGCATGCCTAAAATGATGGATTTTTTTTTTTTAATGTGTTACATTCTTATAGCAATTTAAAGGCTACGCAATAGCTTTAATAGTTGAAAATTGTGAGTGAATGAGAAGCATTGCCTACCAGCATGCATGTTTTCTGTGAGCTTTCTTTGTTGTATTGGTATTTCCACCACCCCGATCCTCCCTCTTCACCTTCCATGCCCTCTTGCTGCAGTGCGTGGCACGGTTGACGAAGGCGTTCCTGCTCATGTCATTGCGGACCAGATGCACCTCTCCAAAGTGCTCAAAGAAATCACAGGTACCATGGAGTAATGCGGGAAAGTGTAGTGAGGTGGTAACTGTACCAACCAGACGCACCTCTTTAAAGTGCTCAAAGAAATCACAGGTACCATTGATCGTTGCGATGATGCTCACGATAAGCAAGGCCATGTTGGGTGCCCACATTGGGAGGCTAAGTTGGGCGCTGCAGGCCAAACCCAACACACCGTGTAAAGATGACTGCACATGTAAGTGTAAGGTTGAGCTTACGCATGCCTAAACATGTGTAACCTTTTGGCAGGCAAAGTTGTTTTTTTTGTTTTCCTTCCTAAAAAGCACGGGAAGAATACAAAAGACCAACGGATGATTGCCACATAAGTTGACAGCCACATACATAAGTTCGCAAAAGCTTGGCAAAAAGTCATGGTGGTCGTTTAAATTTGTGCGCGATGCTAGTACATCAAGCAGTGGATTTGCAAAGTTCCCATTATAATTTGCAGAAAAGGGACTACGAGGGTCTTTGTGGGTAGGTTCTCTAAAATTGGCCAAGGGGGATGTGAAGGAGGGGGGGTTCGTGTGAACATGCAAAACGGACCTCTAAGTGTGTGTGACTTGCATGTCTTTTTGTGAGGGGCCTAAAAAGTTGTGAATATGCCACAAAACTGACAGTGACTTAGCATGTCTTGTGGTTTGTGCTTTGACACGTCTTGTGGTTTGTGCTTTGACACTGTTGCTTTTACTACAGATAATGCAGTCAAGTTCACGACACAAGGCCACGTAACGGTGCGTGTGTCCCTGGGGCCACAAGGAGCAAGCTTGCAAGACACCCTTAACTGGCAGGGTAAGGTTTCGTGTAAGTATTTAGATGTAACTGTGGTGCTCATTTACTCTCACTTTGGTTCGCCATTTTCTTTCCCCTTCATCTCCTTGTCCCTCAATGTCACTTCTTGATGTCTCTCAAGCAGTCCGTGTCTCCTTTTATTTTTTCTCTCCATCTCCTCTCTCTCTCACACCCACTCTCTTCCCCCCTCACACTCCCCCTTCCTTCCCTCTTTTCCCCATCCACATTTCCCCCTTCACTCCAGTCCCTTCGACAGCCCTCCCCTACACACCCCCTCATACAACTGGCAACTGGCCACCCGCCTGGTTCTGTTCGAGAGGAGGCTGGCTAGAGGCTAGGCAGAGATCGTCAGCAGCAACACGCACAAGGGATGACAGAGGCCACGGAAGCAGGCAGAGAGGCCATAACAGCAGGCAATGCAGGCGATTCCCCATGAGCCATGATGAGCGGCGTGAGATGGGGCACGGCGTGAGATGGCAGGGCAGGAGCGGAAGCCCATGTCTGCTGGTGGTGGCGTGCCAAGATTCGGGATGTGGCCTCCCACCGTCGCTTCACAGGGCCGAGGGCAATGGAGGGGCTTCTTACTTCTCACTCACGGTAGGGCGTTCTGTCATGGTCATGTCTCCCTTATTCTCTGTCATGGTCATGTCACCCTTATTCTCTGTCATGGTCATGTCACCCTTATTCTCTGTCATGGTCATGTCTCCCTTATTCTCTGTCATGGTAAGACGACAACATGGGAGGGTCATGGTTGAAACTTGAAAGCCTGTGTTCTTGGGGGAAGGAAGATCAGTGTTCTCGGGGGAAGGAAGATCAGTGTTCTCGGGGGAAGGAAGATCAGTGTTCTGAGGGGAAGGAAGATCAGTGTTCTCGGGGGAAGGAAGATCAGTGTTCTCGGGGGAAGGAAGATCAGTGTTCTTGGGGGAAGGACGATCAGTGTTCTTGGGGGAAGGAAGATCAGTGTTCTTGGGGGAAGGCTCAGTGTTCTCTCTTGGTGGGTTGTCTTTTCTCGCTTGGTGGGTTGTCTTATCTCTCTTGGTGGGTTGTCTTTTCTCTCTTGGTGGGTTGTCTTTTCTCTCTTGGTGGGTTGTCTTTTCTCTCTTGGTGGGTTGTCTTGTCTTTACTCTCTTGGTGGGTTGTCTTTGCCCTCCTCTGTGAAAAATCCTCCTTGCACGTGTCCCTCGCTGTCTCTCCCTCCCTTGTCTCTCCTCCCCACATCCCGTTTCCTGGTGGGCTCGGCATCTCACACTCCGCATCCCATTCAACTTCCAAACATCACTTGGGCTCTTGAGTCGACTCAAAAGTCAACTTCCACCCTCCCTCCGCATCACTTGGGCTCCCCCGCCGCCCCGCATCTCCATTTTATTAATACCCCCTCGTCAGGAGTCGTGGGAGCAGAGGGAGGCGAGGAGAGGGTCAGGCGCAGCACTTGGGCTCGTGCTGGTGCAGCAAATGGTGAGTCGCGGATGCTGCGCTGTGCTGGTGCTGCTGATGTAGATGGGGAGTCTGTTGGTGAGTGTGTTGGTGGTGTCCTGTTCCTGTTGATTTAGACTCTGGCGCTGGTGTTGCGAGTGCATCTGGACTGCGTGTAGACATCTGAATATCACCTGTCGCTACTGCGTGTAGACATCTGAATATCACCTGTCGCTACTGCGTGTAGACATCTGAATATCACCTGTCGCTACTGCATGTAGACATCTGAATATCACCTGTCGCTACTGCGTGTAGACATCTGAATATCACCTGTCGCTACTGCGAATATCACCTGAGTACATCTGAGCGTGGCGAGTGACTCCATGTGGTTTGAGGGTTGTCTGAGACACCTCCAAACGTTTTGCTATGCGTGGTGAAATAAGTCTAGTACTAAAAAATAGGTCTCACGCTAAATAACTAGAGTATGGCACTTATTGACAGGTCTGGTTTGTAAGTATGGTTCTAGTACCAGACCTAAAGGTCTGGTACTTATTAATTAGTCTGGTAATTACGTAAACGTGCGATCTGGTATGTAGCCATGATGGGTACTCAATCATAAGTCTGCCAATCGATTATAGGTATGGAAACTCAGTATTGAGTGCCGTAGTTAACTATACGTAGGGTAATCAGCTAAAGAGGTTTTAGTCCATCATAGATTTCGGTGCGTAGCTCAGCTATGAATGTGGAGCTTTCACTACAGTCTGGGTACACTGTCGTACGGTACACCTTATTTTAGGTCTGATGCCCGATTTAAAGTCTAGAAATGAACTGTAGGTCCGGTATCCATTATAGGCTTGGTATTGAAATCGTAGGTGCGATAAAGGATCATATGCTTGATAATTGGATATAGATTTCGTTCCTTGCAGTACTGCAAGGTGTATGTGACCTCCTCATTTTCATTCTCTCCCTCTTCAACTCCTTGCAGGTGACTCTAATGAAGGGGGAGTTAGCCTTCGACTCACGGCCCAGGTGTGGCTCCACAGTTGCATTCTGTGTGCCTGTATCCAACCCCTCGTTACAAGAACACTGCTTAGAGTCACCGCAGTTGGAGGAACAGGAACCGCAGCAGGGGCAGAGTCAGCAGCATCACCAGCGCCAGCAATGGGAGGTGGTATGGCATGGCAATGGCCAAGACAGGAAGTCAGGAGATTTTCCAGGTGCCTCCAGCAGTGCTTACAAGCAGGAGGCGGGTTCAGGGGATTGTTCAGGTGCTGGCAACAGAATGCAGAATGAGGAGTCTATGAGGTCGGAAGAATGCAGAGAGAAATCGCAGCAGCAGCAGAGCCAGGAGAATTCTCAGGCGGTCCAGCAAAACCAGAACCAGCAGTCGCAGCGGCAGCAGCAATCACCACAGGAGCGATTACTAGCGGGGACGAGGAGGGTACGTAGTGAAGGAGCGGGATCGAGAGCAGTCGAGAGAGCAGAAACAGGGAGTGAAAGAGAGAGGCTGAGTGTGAGGCACCCACGATTCATCTCCAATGCTGCTGGCACTGGCACGCATGGACCTGCAGCAGCAGCGGCAGACGCTGTCACACGTGCGTGCCTCATGGGCCTGCGCGTGTTGGTGGTGGACGACACGCCCGTCAACCTCATGGTGGCCCGCCGCACGCTCGCTCGCTGGGGGGCGGTTGTAGTGACAGCAGGCAGCGGGGAGGAGGCTGTTAGGATGCTTGTTGCGAGCATGGGGGAAGCAAAAATGCAAGAGTCAGCTGGAGAGGTAGTTGGGAAGGAAGCAGAGGAGGAAGTTGGGGAGGCAGGTGGGGAGGCAGGTGGGGGGGCATTTGGGGAGGCAGGGGGGGAGGCCGGCTCTACGATGGCAGCTGAGGGCGAGGTGGGGGGAAGAAGGGATGGGGGCCAGACGAGAGGAGTCACTGGGTGCCGAACCTGCCAGCATGGCTTTGACCTGGTGCTCATGGATCTGCAGATGCCCGGCATGGATGGGTGAGTGGGGGGCATGGATGGTAGGGGGTGTAATGAGCTGGATGGGTGAGTGGGTGGGTGTAATGAGTTGGATGGATGAGTGGAGGGGTGTAATGAGTGGGATGGGTGAGTGGAGGGGTGTAATGCGTGGGCTTCGTCAATGAGAGCATGGATTTTCGTCTGTGAAACCTGTACCGTTCTTCAACGCCCATGGCAGGTTTGGGGCAACAGAGGCCATTCGGGCTCACGAAAGGCACATGGGGTTTGGAATGTTTCAGAGGCAAGGCGAGGAGGAACATGCCAGCATTGGATGGAGTCAGGAAGGAAAGGAAACTAGGCCGGGTGTGATGCCAGGAAGAGCGTGGTGGCATGGTGGCACAGCAGCGGGAGAGCGTGCAATGGTGCTGCAAACAGTGGTGGTAGAGTCCGTTGTAACGCATGGGGGCGGGGAGAGGGAGGTGTATTTGGGGCAGGTAGTAACTGGTGGAGGTGAGGAGGGGGGCGGCATGGGGCCGGGAGTAGCATCAATGCATGTCCATGGGAATGGTGATGGTGAAGCAGAGGATAGGCCAGAGGAGCATGATGACATTCGGGAACCAAGTTTTGGGAATGGGGAGAGGAGGCCCTCGCTTGTACATGAGGGGTTGGTTGATAGCGGGGTCGACCGGCCTGCTGCAAGGCCTGCAGGTAGCGAATGGCTCGAGAGAATCCATGAGGATGCAGAGGCGCCGCGAGGGGTGAGAGAATGCGGGGGACGGCAACAGGCTGATGTCGGTGAGCGGCAGAGTTTTGAGGATGTGCCGGGAATCCCAAGGAAACCTCAAACGCACCCGTCTGCCACGAGTGAGCAGCAAAGACCACTTCGCCTTCCCATAATGGCGCTGACAGCAGACGTGGATCATGGAGTGGTGCAGAGGTGTGCGGAAGGGGGTTTTGACGGTGTGCTTCAGAAGCCAGTGGACGCCCACCTGCTGGCAGCCCACCTCAGCCAAACGCACTTCCAGCAGTCACTCACTCGGGTCGCTTCCCAGCCGGCTTTACCGTGATTCAAATAGCCGGCTAGAGGGGTTTTTTAAATGAGTTTTCAGAAAAGGCGGTGAATGCCTGCTGGCTTCACTTCAGAGCCAGCGTTCAGGTTTTCCCCACAGGGAGGGATGGCTTGTTTTGTTAAAACCACAGGCTAAAATATGGTAGCTGAGGGGGGCTTCAAATGAGCCCCTCTCGAAGCAGGGGCACTTTTTGAGAAATTTGGGTTGCTAGTGCGAAATTGCAGGGAACTTTTGGGGCAGTTGCGCTGATACGAACCCACCATCATCCACACCAACGGGAGGTTGGGCGATTTCGGATCGCGTGCGACGACGCACGACAGTTCAGTTCAGACAAGGAAAGGAAGCTGCGATTGGGGCGTGTTCTTATGTTAAAATCCACCACACCACCCCTCTCGAAATTGTAGGGATTCTGCGCTGTGACGCAACGTGGAGCGAAGTGAGATGCAAATGTGAGGCAGGGCGCCTAGTGTGAACACGCTACAACCAGTAGATTCTGAGAACTAGCCATACGCACCAAAAGACTAGAAACCAAAGAATGTAACTTACACTCTACGGAATTTTGGAAATACCTACGCAGCCTTACTCTTCATCACATTGCTCATTCGAAAACAACATTGAGCATGCTGAATGCAATCTTATTACCAAGTGTTCCTTGTTATAATAATTTGCAATATTGAGTTGCACTAATAAATGGATGCAAAGTTTAAAAATGTACACTATTGAATGAACAGGACTAGCACACCACATCCTTGGCTACATGCCTTCCAGAACTGCAGCGGATGGGTGCCATGATGGGTCGGGAAAGGCGGGTGTTAAAAATAGGGGGTAAATTGCGGGTGACGAGTAGAAGCATAGGGCCATGGGAGAGCACCTGATCAAGGGTGTGAACAATCGGGTTGAAGGGGAAAGTGATTGACAGATGGGGAAAAGGGATGGCAAAACCGGCGACCTAAAGAGGAGTAGAAGTCCGACCATAAGTGAAAGGGGTAGCGGATGGGGGAAAGGCTTGACAGGGTGGGAGAAATGGGAGGGAGGATAGGGGGAAAGGATGGGAGAGGGTAACGAGGTAGGGAGGTCTTTGCCTCGATGGCAAGGGGACGTGGTACAGGAGAGAGCAGGGGTACAGCAGAGAGCGGGGGGACAGCAGATACCGGGGGGACAGGAGAGAGGGGAAGAACAGCACAGAGGTGGGGAACGGCAGAGAGCAAGGAAACAGCAGAGAGGGGGGGAACAGCAGAGAGCAGGGGAACAGCAGAGAGGGGGGGAACAGCAGAGAGCAGGGGAACAGCAGAGAGGGGGGGAACAGCAGAGAGCAGGGGAACAGCAGAGAGGGGGGAACAGCAGAGAGCAGGGGAACAGCAGAGAGGGGGGGAACAGCAGAGAGCAGGGGAACAGCAGAGAGGGGGGGAACAGCAGAGAGCAGGGGAACAGCAGAGAGGGGGGGAACAGCAGAGAGCAGGGGAACAGCAGAGAGGGGGGGAACAGCAGAGAGCAGGGGAACAGCAGAGAGGGGGGGAACAGCAGAGAGCAGGGGAGCAGCAGAGAGGGGGGGAATAGCAGAGAGCAGGGGAGCAGCAGAGAGGGGGGTAATAGCAGAGACCAGGGGAACAGCAGAGAGGGGGGGAACAGCAGAGAGCAGGGGAACAACAGAGAGGAGGGGAAAAGCAGAGAGCAGGGGAACAGCAGAGAGGGGGGGAACAGCAGAGAGCAGGGGAACAGAAGAGATGGGGAGAACAGCAGAGAGCAGGGGGGCAGCAGAGAGGGGGGGAACAGCAGGGAGTGGAACGAATGGAAGGAATAGGACGGGGTAGACAAAAAGCCGTACAATCTTGAAACCCAGAGATTAAAACCCTTCCTCCTACTCATCATTCCCAATCTCCCAGCCTTTTGCTCCCCCTCTCCTTGCCCCTTTCTTCCTTTCCTTGCCCCTTGTTCCCCCTCTCCCTGCCCTTTGTTCCCCCTCTCCCTGCCCTTTGTTCCCCCTCTCCCTGCCCTCTATTCCCCCTCTCCCTGCCTTCCCCCTTTCCCTGTCCCCTTTCTCCCTGCCCTCCACATTTCCCTGTCCATTTTCTCCCTGCCTTCCCCATTCCCCTGCCCCTATCTCCCTGCCTTCCTCATTCCGCTCTCCTCTCCCCCTCATTTGCCTCTCCTCCCCCCTTCATTCTACTCGCCTCTTCCCCCCACTCCGCAGTCCTCTCCCCCCTTTTCCGCTCTTCTCTCCCCCTCTTTTCCACTCTCCTCTCCCCCTCATTTGCCTCTCCTCTCCCCCTCATTCCGCTCGCTCTCCCACTCATTCCACTCGCTCTCCCCCTTCCGCTCTCCTCTCTCCCTCATTCCGTTCTCCTCTCCCTCTCTTTCCCCGGCTCGCCCGCCTCGTTCGCCCAACCGTTCAATTTCTTTCCACGATCCGCGCTCCTGTTTCTCCCATCCCACCCACCCATCTTCCTCTTCCGCTGTTATCCTCATTTCGCATCCCCCCTTTTCGCTTTTCACCGTCCAGAAATCCCCATATTCGCGCACCTCTTTGTCCGGTACTCTGGAGAATGGGGGGAGGGACAGATTCTCAACACTGGTACTAATTGGACGCCGTGGACTAAGTTCTCGCGCAACTGGGGGGCCACGGCAATGAGCAGTCGAGGGAGGGGCTCACTATGCTTCACAAAAGGGACGCTAACTTCTGGGTGGTCTTGCCCACGTGTTGCTAGCCGTGTTACAGGCACCCGTGGCTGCGGCACCCTGTATTGTTGCTGCTAGTGCACGAGATGGGGTATTTTCTCACTTCTAAAGGGTCACACGCAAGCAGGGGAATACTCCTGCTCGTTCACGCGCTGGACGATTTTTTAGAGCATGGAATTTTGGCAGGAGCTGCTCTAAGCTAGCGTAGGTGACGGGGTCTTCTATGTTTGGAAAGCAATAGCACACCTGGGGCTCACTTGAAAGTCTGCCTGGTGGCGGGTTGTCGCAAGGACTTTGTTTTGGTTGAGCATTGCGACCCTTGAGTTTGTCGCAGGGTGCTAAACAGGGGAGTTAAGATCCGCTTTGCACTATCAGCCAGTCACCTCGGGCTGCAAAATCGCAGCACTGGAAAGTGGGTTCTTTTCTCTGACCCTAAAAAATTCCAGATTTTCAAGTGAGCCCCCCCTTTGCTATTCTAGCCTGTGGTTTTAAGATAGCAAAGTGAGACAAGCAGGGCATAGAGGTGATATAGGTATATGAGTATATGTTGTACTCTCTAAGAGCACATACCTGTCTAGCCTATAACTATACATATAACAGATTTGTATACGTTGACACACCCCCTATGCTAGATAAGGGGCAGTGCCTAACAAGGGACATGCAGCTTAGGGTGGCACTACTAGTCCAACCTCTGAGGCAGGGGTCTGAATGCCAGTCAGCAAGAGTAAGGACTCAAGAAGGGTAACTCAGGGCGGCACTATTAGTCCAGCCACTGAGACAAGAGCCACAAGGCCAGGGTAGTTTTTTTTGTTTGGCCTGAAATTTCAAGCTAAAAGTTTCAGAAGGCTGACGAATCAGGGCTGGGTTTTGAAACGCGCTGAATTAGTGACAGGTGTAGTTCGGCATGTGATTGAAGGAGAAGCGGTGTTTTCAAGGAACTGTCGAAACCCCACCACTAGCTGTTTTCGCACAATTTTTGCTAAGGACAAATCGCCTCCTTGAGGGGACTGGCAGGACGCCTATGTGGACAAATATAATTATCTAGGCTAGCTAGTTTATATTTGTTATAGCCTTAGTTAGGTTAGTTCTTAGAGGGTACAGTCCTACCTTAGTAACCCTCGACATTTTCCCTTAGTCAAGCATTCTCCCTAGAATCTTGTAAGAAATTGAAAGATGGTGCATGAGACTAAGTATATCTACTACTCGATAGTACTTGTAAGGATCGTAATTCTGGAATGGTAGACTAGTAAGACAGCAGAAGTCTTATAGGAGTGAACCTGAGCACATGAACTTGTGGGTAGTCAAAAGTTGAAAAACCTGAGCACATAATTCTCTGGAAAGTCAAGGTTGATAATAGAAAGGCATAACAAGGATTTATAGCTCTAGGGAAAGTACCTGTTCGGCTAGTTGCACGCTATGCGACCTATTCGTCATTCTACAGGGCCGCGACTGTTCGCATGACTAAAACGGTTCGTTACGCCTATTCGTGTAACTGAAGCGGTATCTTGGCGTTCTCACAGAGACGCGCGATGCTTTGATGACATCAGCACTCGGGCATGGTTGCTTACTGAGATACTCGATACTGCTAGCTACACTAAAAACAAAACTGGCAGGAATGCAAAACTTCATATATCACAACAAATCTAACATGGCATCTAGACCAGGGCTCTCGGTTCAAGGGTAAACATCCGGAATGTCAGGTACATTCCGGGTCTTTCCCGCTGAAATCCTGATTTTAAGGGTTTCGGATTCACAAACCTCCTGACAGATTCCGGGCGTTTCCCAGTAACTCTATGAGCAATCCGGATTGTGCGAAAAATTATCCTGACTCTCCGACTGGCATGGAAACTCACCCGTGCTGGAATTGCAGCCCTACCCTCCACCCCCCCCCCAACCCCCAACTCCTTCGCAACCCTGACTAATTTTCCACGCAATCTGAAGGTGTGACCCGTAGAACTTTCACAACTACAGAAGTGCAGGGCTGTCAGACTTATCACAACCCCTTAATATCACCTCAGCCAGGTTGCGCACCGTTCCTCTAAGCTATACGCATTTCTGTCGCGATTAAGGAAAGTGTCAAACTTGGTGTGGTGGTGAGGAACAACAGCAGCAGCAAGTGTGTGTTCTGTATACTTCTCCGTTTCTTCCATCAATGTCCTTCCTGCTTGTACTCAAAGTGCCGACAGGTTCCGCTGTGATGTAGGGAGTCCCAAAAAACACTCTGAATTTCAGATTGAAAGGTCGAAGTTATCCTGAAATTAAGATATAGTTTCCAGGAGACGCTGAATTTTCAGGGTCTTTCGTGACGCGAATCCTGTGACCGCTGGGTCTTGAAAAACGAAAAATTAGCCCTGATCTAGACCTAGGTCTCGCCCTCTACTCACGCTTCCGCCCTAGCACACCCTAGCCTAGCGCGTCTCGGCCCTAATTGCCTGCCTTGTAGCTCATCCCCTCCCCGCCCTCTCCTCTTCGTTGCGTAGCTCACGCCAGCCGTCGCTGGCCCGTGCCCGTTAGCACCTTAGTTTGTAGCCGTCCCATAGCCCGCCAGCCCACCAGCCCACCTACTTGCCAGCTTGCACGCTCAACTGCTCGCCAGCCCGCCTGCTCGTCAGCTCGCACGCTCGCCTGCTTGCCAACTCGCCTGGTCGTCTGCATGCCAGCCCGCCAGCTCGCCTGCCCGCCAGCTCGCACGCTCGCCCCCCCATCTACTCGCTTACTTGCCTGCCCGCCAGCCTACCTGCTTGCCAGCCCGCCTGCTTGCCTGCTCGCCAGCTCGCCTGCTCGCCAGCCCGCCTGCTTGCTAGCCCGCCTGCTCGCCCGGCCGCCCGCCTGCTCGCTTGCTCGCCTGCGCGCCAGCCCGCCT